TCTGCGAGACAAGGAATTGAAGAGTGAAAAAAGTCTTAAAGCAATGAGGCCGCTGGATGAGAACGAAACGACCCAAGTTTTTGAGAAGCTTTTCAAGTTCGTCGGCAACAATTTGAAGAACATCGTTGAGAATCCATCCCACGAAGGCTCCGACCCGAATCCCGGCCGCTACTGTTTCCGTCTTCAGAAGAATCGGGTTTATTACGTGTCTGAATCGCTGGTGAAGAGGGCAACCAATATCAAGCGTGAAAATCTGGTTTCCTTGGGAACCCAGATTGGGAAATTGACCAAAAGTGGTAAATTTCATTTGACGATTCAGAGCTTGAATTTGTTGGCCGCCAATGCTAAGCATAAGGTTTGGCTCAAACCCACTTCGGAGATGAGCTTTTGTTATGGGAATAACATTTTGAAAGGTGGTTTAGGGAGGATTACGGAGAATATTAATGTGAATGATGGGGTTGTGGTGTTTTCTATGTCTGATGTTCCATTGGGATTTGGGGTGGCGGCGAAGAGCACTCAGGATTGCAGGAAAGCAGCTCCGAATGATCTTGTGGTCATTCACCAGTCTGATATTGGAGAGTATTTGCGCTTGGAGGATGAGCTTTGAGAGACCCTGGTAAGAAGTGTTTCAAGAATGTAATTTTGTGGGGTTAAAGATGGGATTTTTGTGACAGACTTGTTACAGGAGATGTACTTTATTATGGTATTGAGCTTAATTGTAATCTTGTTGAAGCTTAGCTAATGAAGTTATGATGATTGCTCCTTTTTAATTACCTTCTTGTTTCTGTTTTAGTGGATTTTTTTGAAAGATTCTTTCTTGCTGCTCTGGTATTGAATTTGCCTAAGGTTTCTTGGGAAAGGATTTGAATTTTCAGAAGGCAATAGGAGTCTCATAGAACTGTTGTTTTGTTCACGTATTTTAACTTCCAACTCTGCCTTGATGCCTTTGGTAATGGAAGCATTTTGCAGTTTTCCTTTAGCTTCACTTGGTAGTGCTGTACATATTTTGGTTAGTGTTGGATTGCCTAGCTCTGTCCTTTCATCTCTTTGGAATCTGTTAGAATTTTTTCTGTAGTGGTGGAGTTAATTCTTTTGTATTCGAGAGGTGCAGATCAAGCAAACATTTGTAATTGATCTTTCTCAGTCGATTACCTGGATCATCTTTAGTGCTCACTGCTGAACCTTGTAATTGAAATTTATGTTCAAAGTGGTAATTGTTGCAGAAATGCAGTGTGCGATTTAGTATGAGCTTTAGAGTTTTGATTGTTTTAGGTGTAAATTTTGATGTCACTATGCCAAATCATGTACATCAACACGATTTTCTTTTGGACATTTGCCAAGAAATTTGGCCTATTCACCACAAGCACATTCCAACAAACTCAGCTGGATGTGATGCCCGCTGCGATTACCTTGTTGCCAAATGAATATCCTTTTAACATCATCGGGAAGCACATTCTTTACACCTAACATTATCAAAAAGCACACTCTTTACACATTGTAACCGAATTCCTTTGGCAATGAAATGCTGGTGGTATAGATGTACTTATGGTCATTTGGGTCGATAGTTGCTGCGTGGGACTGAACCCTAATGTGGAAGCTTCAATGAGATACAAATCGTTTGTCTAACTTAGATAGAGGGACAAAAGACTAGAAAGCAGCAAAGTCTATGAAGCAAGGTAATGAAAATGATATATGATCATGTCAATATAATAAGACGTCAAATGCAGTACCGGTATTGTGGAGTCTTTGATGTTGCTGATGCTGTGGAAAGGAAACCTTTACTGAGGGCAACAAGTTGTAGAAACACAGAATCATTTGGTTGATCCACTGGTATTAAAATGAAGCAGCGGATCTTGATTCTTGTGTTTTCTCCCTAAAGAATATTTACACAGAGTAGTTAAAACTTCTCAATTATCACAATGTGACTAGTAGTGATACTAAAAGCAAGAAAGGGAAATGAAGAGTGTTGGATGAATGTAGATAGCTGTTTAGAGAAACAATTGGCGTAACTCATTTTCTCAGGATTCCGTAACATGATCACAGTACTGATGGACAGAACTCCTTCCAAGTTGCATTGGATTTTTTTTCCATGTACTGCTGGAGTTATTTATTTGAAATTCAAGTTGCAGTCCTGCAGATCATCCAAAAATTTGTACGACGACTTCAGACAACGAGTGTGTAATATATAATTTTTTTTTCCCAAAACTTTACTTGAAATTTAACATCTTTTATTGAAATCCAATCTATTGTTATTACTGGAGCCAATAATTGGTGTCGTTCTTATACTTCAACTAAAAAGTACTCTCTGGGTCAGTCAACCTGGTCTTCTCAATTTCATTTCCACAACCTTTTGTTTCTCCTGGCTCCTTCCCAACATCTTCTTAACTTCTTCTGATCAAAAATCACTTTTTTTTTCCTCCCTCTTTCCCCATCTCTTCCATCTTCTGCTTCCTTCCTTTTCTTTTATAGATTGAATTCACTGCAGGAAAGCGGAGGAGAGTGAAAGCATTGGTATTACAACAATTTATTTCTTCAAAGGGAGAACAGAGCAAGCTCATTGGTACGTTACTTTTTTTCAAGTATTATTGTACTATAATGTTCTTCATTTTTATTGGAAAAGGAAAAAAACTGGTATTGCTTTTAAGTTGTAATTGTGACTTTTTATTGTCATGGTTGATAGTCTCACTAATTACATTCAATCTTGTCCATACACTAATGTAAAGAATTTGAAGAAGAATGACTTTTAACATATTGAACTGTTTAATTAAATTGAAGAGGGACAAAGTTGGCAGTGAAATGAGGTCTGTATAGGAGACATATTCAGAAGCAGTGTAAAACTTTTTTGAACTGGGCTTCCTTTGAAATTTCAGATCAAGAAACCACATTTCCATCTGTTAAAGCTGAATATATATACATATGGGTACTGATTCTTATACCCTGTGTCTTACTAAGATTGACCAATTTCTTCAAGAAAATGACCAACTACCTTCCTGTTGGCGCACACGATTTGTTGAGTCACACTTGAGGCTGTTGAAGGTATTTGTGCGTTATACTCGGAATTTTTGGAGTGATGAAGATAAAGCTAAGCATTTTGGATCTCTACCAACTGATTTTGTGGAACTGGAAGCTCAGCTTATCAGTAACAACAACCTCAGTGATTACGTTGCCCGTTTCGTGTTTCCAGAACCAACTGTGTGTTCGAAGAATGAGCCAAGTCTTTATGTTTGAAACATATCCCTTATTGTTTCTCTTAAGTTCCAAGCAAACATTGCAAGAACTTTGAAGTACTTATTGAGTTTGGAGGAGACCCTCTCTTGTTCTTCCATCAGTACTACTGATGTTGTTGTATTTTCGCAGTTTGCCGACTCTGTCCTGGACTATCTTGTCAGCTTTCGGTTGGAGTTACAGGAGCATCGAAAAGCGGGGCTCTTGGAACTACAGAAGCATCTTCCCCCGTTTAGGTCAGCTGATTTTAGCCATTTGTATGAAGCGGAACGAAAATACATGGCAGCGGATCGATAAATGAAATATAAGGAGTGTGAAAAAAAATTAGGATTCTTCAGATTTTCAGTCTCCACTTTAGCAGAATCGCTAGTTGGCGAGGAGGTGTTGAGAAACCTTTTGGATCGTGCTACGGCTCTGGTTTTAAGGGCCGTGATTGTGGCATGTGAGAATCAAATGATTGATCGAAATGCCAGGGATTCTGGAAGACGGATGGTGGAGCGGTCACAATATCTGCTTGAACTCATTCCGAGTCATTTTGAGGTTCTATATCCGCCTGATGGTAGAGGACACTTTATTTCTATGATAACATTTGAAGATTTGGTAGACTCATATACCAACCTTTACCAATTGGTAGAGAATGAAGTTAACATCATTCTTCCTGTTGTGAATAAGCTGTGTTCCATTCCTTTGGTTCAATATTTCGCAGACGAATTGAGGTTACTGTTTAGGCAGGGAGCCTTTTCTACGGAAGCTAGATCATTTATTGGTTGTAGTCCTCCTAGAATTTTGCCCTCTAAATTTTTCCTGAAATTTAATCTTATCAAGGCTGAGATTTTCGTCTTGGAGCTGCACAATCAGAAAACCAATCTCATGATTTCTACCTATGATAAAGCTGTTTCCAACAGTGATGCTTCTAAATTCCTAAGTATTTACTTCAATACGCCGGAGGTACACATGGATGAAAGAGATAAATCCATAGTAGCACTCATTGAAGCTTTATTTAGAGAGGAGGCATATGATCAGAGCGAAAAATTCAACCACGAGGGCATTCTCACCAGTTTAAGTCTTAAGATCTTTGCACTTTTCAAAGCAGAGGCAAGCTTGATGGTTCTTCACAACACTGGAACCACCTTGAAGTTCCTGAAGAGATATTGTCTTGAAATTCTTCAGAAGAGTTTGATCTTTTTGAGAGAATTGCTTGACCAAGATCATAGGGAACTCTCTGGTAGCATTGAAGCAGTGGTTAGTGAAGCGATAAATCTTGTTATGTCCCTTGGAGGTGGAAGTGGCAAAATGGGGGGACATGAAACTCTTGCCTGATTCTTTTACAACAATGCTCGAGCTTAACATTGCTAAGATAAGGTCAGTGCATCTGCAATGTCCATGGTTGTTGCTTTCCAACTTTCCAAAGAGTGATGGACATGTCTTTGTTGATTTTCTCTTAAGAAAGGTGAGAGAGTTTTTGGAGGGAAATCTTTCTAAGACAGTTATGTTATTGAAAGATCTAGCTCAAGTTATTGCTGCAGGAATTACACTTTCTGCAGAAAAATGGTGAAGATCTTGGAGAAGCCCGGATTCCATGCATAATTTATGAGGCAGAGTACATCATCACTAACCTCTTCGAAGATCAATCTGTCCCTATATGGTACAAACAGCTGGTGCTTTTTAATGCCATTACCGAGGCCAAGATCACCAAATCCGAGATCCAAGAGTATCATCATCATCAGTTCAAGGAAGAGAGGCCTAATTGGAACACCCTCAATGTTATACAACAGATGTCAAATAACTCAAGAATTGATGAAGTCATCATGGGTTTTGATGATCAGGCAAAAGAAATAGAAGACCGGCTCAAAGCTGAACCACCAAATCGACAGATTGTCTCAATTGTTGGAATGGGGGGAGCTGGAAAGACAACTTTAGCTAAGAAAGTTTATAACAACCTCTCAATTCAGTATCACTTCTGGGGTCGAGCTTGGTGTAGAGTTTCCCAAGTGTATAGAAAAAGAGATTTGCTACTGGATATTTTAGGATGTATTGCAGAGGTTACTGAAAAGATCAAGAGAATGGATGATGGTGACCTTGCTAATACCCTGCGACAACATTTAAAAGAAAAACGATATCTAGTTGTCATGGATGACATGTGGAGCATGGAGGCTTGGAATGACTTGAAGATGTCATTACCAGATGACAAAAAGGGAAGTAGGATTTTAATCACAAGCCGAAATTCAAAGGTGGCTTCGGAAAGGGAAACTTATCATCGTCCTTTACTCACTCTCGAAGAAAGTTGGAATTTGTTCAATGAGAAGTTATTTCACGGATGCAGCTGTCTCAAGGAACTATTAGAAATTGGAAGGCTTATTATAAGAAAATGCAAGGGACTACCTCTTGCAATTGTAGTCATGGCTGGACTTCTGGAGAAGAGAAAGCACCGGTGGGAACAAATTGCTCAACAAATGATGTCGCATATAGCTGACGATGGTGAAGACAGTTAGATCATTCACATGCTGGAGTTAAGTTACAATAATTTACCATCACATCTTAAACCGTGCTTTCTTTATTTGGGAATATTTCCAGAAGACCAAAAAATTCCAGTGCAGAAGTTGAAATTGCTATGGATTGCAGAAGGTTTTGTACTGAAAAAGGATTCCAAGAGTTTAGAAGAAACAGCTGAGGAGTACTTGATGGAACTAATTGGTCAAAACTTAGTAATGGAAGCCAGGAGAAGATCCAGGGGAGGTTTCAAAACTTGCCAGGTGCATGATTTGGTGCGCTTAATTTGCTTGAAGAAAGCTAGGGAAGAAAATTTCGTGCAGCGAACCTTGGCAGCAGATTTTTGCAATCCAGGTTCCTCATGTTCTTACCTAGTATCTTTGCCATATCGGCTTTCTTTCCAACCAAACTTGAAAATGCACTGGGATGATCGTCATGTCCATTCCCTACTGTTCTTTCCCTGTAATAGTCATAAATTTGATGGCAGTAATGTTGAGTGGCCAAGCTCAAAATTTCTCAGATTGTTGGATGCGGAATGTTTGCAGTTGAGTAATATTAACTTTGAGAAGTTTGAATTGTTGCGTAGCTTAAATTTCTCAGATTCTTCTGAATGTTATTTAAGCAAATATGTATATTATGTTTGAAAAAGTTGTAATAAATCTGTGAAAGAGCAAATATGTATACAATTAATACTACTACACAAATAAAAACTTAATCACACAACCATTTCGGGACGGAGGAAATATTGATTTTCTAATACAACTAGTCAATTTTATAATTTCTGAATTATCCTAAGAAAAATGCAATTCGCAAATTATAATGTGAACTGTTTCTCTGCAACGAGGGAGTACTACTTTTGGTGTTTGACCTTAATAATTTTACCCAATTGTGATCAAATGTGAATCCCAACCACAGATAACATGGGAAAAAAAATGTGCATGATGAGCTAATCAAAATGCATTTCTTCTTCAGCTTAACTTCACCTCTCAGTATTATATATACAATGGGATAGCATATTGCTTGGTCAAAACAAAAAAATAAATAAAGTCTTGTAATTAGATCCATAAAGTCTTGTTTAAATGAAAAAAAAAAAAGAAGAAGAAAAAGTATGGAGTTTCATCATAATTTACATTTTTCACTTGGAAGAAGATCAGAAGAGGGGATGAAATAGTACTCTTCGTGCAGATCATACTCAATATTGGAAGAAATCTTTCATCAAGGTACTACATCATCTTCAACTTTTACTACAACTATTTTTCTTTGGTTTTTTTGCTATTCACAGATTTATTTGTTTCTTCTTTAGTTAGTTTGACTAATTAGGAAGAACAGTGGAAATAGACAAACTAATCCCGGATTAGAATCATTTGTCAAGTGATGAAGTTCAATCACATGTTTGATGTTTTCTCTGTTCCACTTAATATTGTCTCAACTGGTATTTACTTAACTTGATGATTCCAGAATTTTGAATACCAATTGTTTCTTATCATTTCTCAGAAGTTTTCAAGTGAATTGAAGAGGCACATAAAAGAGTTGGTAGTAAACTCTCTCAAACCAAACTGTTATAAACAAAATATGGCTGCTGATTCTTATACGCTGTGTCTCACTAAGATTGACCAATTCCTTCAAGAAAATGATCAGTTTCCCTGTGGTTGGCGGACCCGATTTGTTGAGACACACTTGAGGCTGTTGAAGGTACTTGTGTGTTACTCTGGAAAATGGAGTGGTGAGGAAAAATCTGAGCATTTTGGACTAGATGATCATCATTATCAGGAACTGGAATCTCAGCTTAGTAGTAGTATCAGTTATTGTGATTATGTTACTCGTTTCGTGTTTGCGAAAGTGTCAAAGAAGAAAAACAAGAAGCAAAAGAATGAGCCAAAGCTTCGTTTTGAGGATAGCTATGTGTCTCTTAAATTCCAAGCAAACATTGCAACTACTTGCAAGTATTTATTGAGTTCGAAGAAGATCCAGCCTCCCATTACTGATGTTCTTGTGTTTTCGAGGTTTGCTGACTCTGTCAAGGATTATGTGATTAGTCTTTGGATGGAGCTAGAAGACTATATCCAATGCAGCAAGCAAAAAGATTCTTTCATCTCTTCTAAAGTGGAAGAAGACTACAGGGCCACTGCACAAAGGTTAGGATACTTCAGTTCTTTGATTTCCAGTTTAACGGAGCATTTCATTGACCGGCACGAGTTGCAAAAGTTTTTGGTTCGTGCTGGAGCTGTTTTCTTAAGGGTTGCTGCTGTGGCGTGTGATAATCAAACAGTAAATCGAGATACCTCGAGTTTTACAGCAAAGATGGAGTTCCATTTGAAAAATCTCTTTTCAATCATTCATAGTAAAAATGTGAGGGAGATCACTGGTCAACTTCTAGGAGCTTATCTCAATGCTTTTGAGGCTAGGAAGCCATCATCATCACCAACAAATCCTACGTTAACATTTGAAGATCCGGTAGAGTCTTTTGCTAATCTTTGCCAATTGGTAGCGAATCAAGAACTTAACACCATTCTTCCAGTGTTGGATCATCTCTTGGCTAATCCGCTGGTCAGGCATGAGTTCCCTTTGGAAGTGAAGAAGTTGTTGGAGCTTGGATTTTTAGCTGTGACTACAAAAGCTAGATCACTTATTGCCTCCACTCCAAACGTTGCGCTCTCAAAGTTGTGTCAAAAGCTTAATCTCATCAAGTCTGAGATTTTAGTCTTGGAGGTGCACAATCAGAAGGCCAATTTAACGATTTATGACATCGGTCAAGCTGGTAGCAAAATAAATGCTTTCACATTCCTTAGTGAATTCTTCAAAACGCCCGAGGTATATATGAAGGAAAGAGAAAAATCCCTAGTATTACTCATTGAAGCTTTGCTTAAAGAGGAGGTAGGAGAATCATTATTCAGCTTGCAAAATCATAGCCAAAAATTCACCCAACGGGACATGATCTCCAAGTCAAGTCTTAAAATCTTTATGCTTTTAAAGGCGGATGCAATGTTGTCGGTTCTTAGCAATCATGAAACCAGCTTGAAGTTCCTGGAAAGATATTGCCTTGAAATGCTTCAGAAGATTTTGATCTCTTTGAGAGCATTGCTTAACCAAGATGATGAAAATCTCTCTAAAATTAGTGGAGCGGTGGTTAGTGAAGCAATAAATCTTGTTTTCTCCCTTGGAGGTGGCAGCGAAAAAGTGGAATGCATGAACCTTTTGCCGAAGTCTTTCTCCAGAAAGTTTAAGCTTAACTATGCAAAGATAAGAGCAGTACCTCAGGAATGTCCGGGGTTGTTGGTTTCTAACTTCCCGAAGAGTGATGGACCTGTCTATGTTGATAATCTCTTAAGAAATGTGAGAGAGTTCTTGGAGAGTAATCTTTATAATACTAGCAAGTTTCTGAAAGATCAAGCTCAAGTGTTGCTGCATGAAATACAGCGTTTGCTATCATTAATGCAGAACAATCATAATGAGCGTGAAGATCTTCAAGGAGAACGCTTGGTAGGCCTAATATATGAGGCGGAGTACATCATCATTAACCTCTTTGAAGATGAAGGTGTGCCATCATGGTACAAACAGCTGATGGTTTTAAATGCCATTTCGGCGGCTAAGCTTATCAAGGCTGAGATCCAAGAATATCATCATCATCAGGAGGAGGAGAGGCATCTGGGAAGCATCCTCAATGTCGTAGGACACACTTTGGAAGATCCAAATAGTTCAAGTACCGATGATGTCATAGTAGGTTTTGAGGATCGGGCAAAACATATAGAAGACCAACTCAAATCTGGATCACCGCAGCGACAGGCTGTCTTAATTGTTGGAATGGGGGGAGTTGGAAAAACAACACTGGCTAGGAAAGTTTACAACAGCCTCGCAATTCAGTATCACTTTAGGAAACGGGCCTGGTGTACTGTTTCTCAAGTGTATGTAAAGAAAAAGTTGCTGCTTGAGATATTGGAATGTATTGTGGAGATTCCTCAAAAGAGCGAAGGATTTACTGCAGACCCTAAGAAGATAGAGGAAATGGACGATGACGAAATTGCTGATACACTGCGACGAAGTTTAAAAGGACAAAGATATTTGGTCGTGATGGATGACATTTGGAGCGTGCAGGCTTGGAATGACTTGCAGTTATCACTACCAGATGATGGAAAGGCGAGTAGGATTTTAATCACAAGCCGTAATTTTGATGCGTCTTTGAAAATGGAACCTTATATTCTTCCTTTCCTCACTGTTGAAGAAAGCTGGAATTTGTTCAAAGAGAGGTTATTTCATGGAGGCAGCTGTCCAGAGGAACTGTTAGAAGTCGGAAAGCTAATTGTAGAATATGGCAAAGGATTACCCCTTGCAGTTGTAGTCATAGCTGGTTTTCTAGAGAAGATAGAGAAGAGAAAGGATCTGTGGGACGAAATTGCACTGAATTTAATGTCATATATATCCCACGATCACGGAGACAAACAAATCAAGGATATCCTGGAGTTCAGTTATAATCATTTACCATCACACCTGAAACCATGCTTCCTTTATTTGGGAACATTTTCGGAGGACCAAGAAATTCCAGTTCAAAAGTTGAAATGGATGTGGATTGGAGAAGGATTTATACCAGAAACGGATTCCAAGAGTTTAGAGGAAACCGCGGAGGAGTACTTGATGGAACTAATTAGTCGAAACTTGGTGATGGAAGCACAGAGAAGATCCAGTGGAGGGATCAAAACATGCACCATGCATGATATGGTGCGCTATCTTTGCTTGGAGAAAGCTTGGGAAGTAAATTTCATGGAGCCGATCGCGAGCGCATATTTCAGCAATTCAAGTAAATCAAGTTCTATGTTTGTATCTTCATCATATCGGCTTTGTTTCCAACCAAAAATGGAGCACGACAGGATTCCTCTTAAACTTCTTGTTCCACATGTCCATTCTCTACTGCTTTCTCCCACTCCTGGCAGCCATCCACATTGTTTTACTGATATTTTTGAGTCGAAAAATTCAAAATCCCTTCGAGTGTTGGATGCAGAATATGTCCGAACTGGAATCGTTGGTCTTCATGATTTAGGGAAGATGCATTGTTTAAAATACCTAGCCGTTAGGGGATGGTTTTCTTGGGTGCCTTCATCAATAGTCCAACTCGTCAACCTTGAGACTCTCATTCTGAGGGGAGAAACAGAAAAAATCGAAGTATCCACTGAACTTTGGAGCATGCGCAAGTTGAAGAATATTCACATAAACTCCATTAGTCATTCCAGTTTGCCTGGCCCTGATGAAATTGTGAATCTGGGAAACATTGCTACTCTTTCCTTGTTGACTATTCGGAATCCGAGCCTGGGTGAAAATTTTTTGAGAAGGTTGACTGGAATTAAGAAATTGAAATGTAAATTTCAGAGAGATTTGAATATTGATCATAAAAGCTATGTACTACCTGCAATGGACACTCTACATCAGCTTGAGTCGCTGCATCTATCCACTCTCCCTTTCACTGATATTTATTTTCCGAGCAAGTTCAGCTTCCCAACAAATCTAAAGAAATTGACTTTAAAGAGATTTTGGCTTTCCTGGGAATCTATTTCAGCCATTGGACAACACCTAAGCAATCTGGAGGTTCTGAAAATAATAGGCTATTATACAGGGGAATCAATGTGGGATGTCAGAGAAGGAGAGTTTCGGAAGCTGAAATATTTAAAGCTGTACAAGTTTGGATTGATTAGTTTTGCAAGCTGTACAAGCTGGAATGCATCAAGTGATTCCTTCCCTCTCCTTGAGCGACTAGTTTTGCAAGATTGGCATAATCTTGAGGAAGTTCCTAGCAGTTTCGGAGAGATCCCCACGTTACAGATGATTGAGATGAAAGATTGCAGCAAGTCTGCTAATGAATCAGTCGGGAGAATTTATGAGCAACAGCATGAGTTGGGAAATAAGGAGTTCAAGCTCCTGATAACTGGATGATGAAGGTGATCTAATTCCATTATTCTTGTTTGTGTGTATATATATGTTTTGCAAGTTTCCTTCTTGTTAGTGTTAGGATATACATCTATCCATATTTGGCAAGATCATGACCATGATTTCTAAAAGAACACTAATCATTTGTATATTGTAGGTTGAGTATGCATAAGTTTTGGTTCGAAGTTACTAAACAACAAAGGTATTTACATACTATTGCAGGTTCACAGCTAAAAGGCTGGCATTTTGTAATGGAACCAATGACTAGTTTGTCGTTGATCAAGCTTCAAGAATGATGTTTGTTGATGAGTTTGCTTATGAAATTCTAAGTTCAAAAGGAAATTATGTAGTAAAATAATCATTTGGTTTGATTGATTAGCTTGTTTTACATTTCCAATTGAACGACTTAATTCATGAGCACGTATGTTGCTTCATCATACTAGACAGTGGACAACATGAAATGCAATTGCAGTAATTATGGAGACTTTTTTATACTGTTCACCCTGCCAAAACTTTTGCAATGGAAACTTTTTGCATAACTACACAACAAACAATTAGAAGTTAGAACCACAATCTTTGATTCGAACTTAGAAGCATTTTTCACATTGTAACTGAAGGAGGCCAAGAATGCACCCCGGCTGGTTGAATGTGGAACGACCCAAGTCACTTCAGTTCGCCGATCACATCGAGGCATGAACAAAAGCAGATTTCCCTCACAGAAAAATCCAATGTTGGTTTATTTTCTTTTGAGACTCTGTTTCCCCTGTTTCAGAAGCCTTTGCTTAGTTAGCAGTAGCAAGATAGCCTTTTTTCTGGTTTTGTTTGCGGTATCTCAATTCTCAACTATCATCATTGGTACATTACTTTATTTGATTCTAGTATATCCATGTTATGGTGGGAAAATGTACCAGAAAGGCTGGCATCTTGTATGACTGCTTTGCCTTTGATCAAGATTCAAGAATGGAATGTTTCTTTGGTGATTTTGATTCGGCGAATTTCTAAAACATAATTGGAATCGTATATAGATCATTCATAGGTTTCATTAGGCTGCTATACATTATATTATACTAAAGACATACTACAAAGGCTAACACCTCTGCCGCCTCCCTCTCCCTCCCCCTCTCCCTGAAACTCTAAAAAAAAAAAATTAATCTTCCCCATCTTTCCGCCATGGAAGGATGAGGGAAATAATTCTACTCATATCATTTAGTCTTTTAATTGTATTTTAATTTAGTTTCAATAAACGGCTTGTAGATTATTATCTATAGTATGACGGTAACATCTTTATCGATGTTTGCAAGTATAGCGACAGCATCTTTGTTGATATTTGCTAGTATGACGGCGGTTCTGTCAGTGATATTTGCAGATACGGCGACGACGGCTTCATTAAAGGTGTTTGTTGGTTTGACAGGCATGGTCTAAGAAGATTCAATTATAGTAGATCTAATTATTATTAGGTTTACGATTTGGGAGTTTCAACCGAAGGTTAGTGTTGTATCCTTGACGGGATTGAAAATCTGACACGTGGTACAACCATTATTTTATGGGGTAGATCAGTATAGATTTACCCATGTAGCGAAACACAACTATGACATTGTGACTGTTTGTAAATAGTGTTATTATGGCTGTATCTTGTTTTTATGAATAGTTGTTATACGATTTTTAGCAAATTAATGAATTTATTTTTATTTCTAAAAAAAAAAGGCTGCTATACATTGGGAACGGAATTTTGTAAGGAATGGAATTCTTTTCCCCCTTATGTTTTCTTACTTTTGATCAGTTTTAATTAATTTGGTGAACAAAATAGCTTATAAATGTAGTGCCTAATAAAAAAGTCTTTGTTTTCTGAGTGATTCAATCAAGTTGGCATCCCATTGCCTCTTTGGCGTAGTTGACTTTCATTTATTTATATATGTACATCATCTGTACTTACTCTACTTAATTAATTTTTATACGTTTTTTAAATTAATATCCCCAGTATTGGAGAGATCATTTTGAGTTTCATCATTCATCACTTGCATTTGCGCAATCAAGCAGCATCAGAAAAAAAGCTCTCTCTCTCTCTCTCTCTCTCTCCAAAGTTTTCACACACACACGCACATCCATCTCTTGAAAGAGGAAGATTAAAGAAGAGGGATGAATCAGTAGTCTTTGTTCATGCGGAGAAGAGAATGCGTGATCAGATTGGATATTCTTCTTCATCAATAATAAGGTACATTTATTTCTCTTTAGTTTCTCCGCACATCGATCTTGTACTTCATTCACGAAGATTTTGTAATTAGTAGTAATTTCTAAGATTTTTTTTTTTTTTGAAAGTAAACATAACTTTATTTATTCACATACATTCCGGATAAGCAGATTCTAAGACATCTTAAGGAATCTACAGAACCATTTGCGCGGTTTTACATCTCATAGCTAATAATATGGGAATAACAAAAAGGAGTAAGATTAAGATCTTGAAGTTTAAGATCTTGTAGAAAAACATATTTCAACTTTTCCCCTAAAAATGCTATTATAGATGGTGTCCTTTAATTTTTTCCTACTCAGAAGACAAGTTCATAAACTGAAAACTTTAGTTAAGCTGTTTTGTAGCACAGAAAAATATTAGGATCTGAGAAACAATATATTTTTTTCTTCCTGTTTTGAGAACTTTAATTTAGCTGTATTGTGATTTGAGAAGACCATGTTTACATTTTGCAAGTGTTGTTTTTCTTCCAACAAAGACAAAATGAAGAAGCAGGTGCTAATCTAACGAATTTGATATGATTGTGTCTCTGTTACCTTAATTTTGTTATATAGTTGTAAAAAGTTACATCTTCCTGTCCAATGTATAGGGCGCTTAGGTTTAGTTTGTATTCCCTCCGTCCTGAAATTATTATCTAGTTTGGATTTTGATTCTTAGCCCGAACTTATTGTCGTATCCAAACTGAACAATCATTTCCGGACTAAATAGGACTGGAAGGATGGAGGATTTGAACATCACTTTAATGTCTGTCTCAACGTTTTGTAGGTGTCCACGCATTTTAAGTCAAAAGAGCTGAAAAAGAGAAGAGGGAGGGCGCAATTAAGTTCCCTGATGCTTGCTTCCAAATCCCATTGGAGAGTACAACCCATTTGTTAAAGCTGAATATGGCTATGGATTCTTATAATAATCCTTGTCTTACAAAGATCGACCAATTCATCCAAGAAAATGATCAGCTCCCTCGCTGTTGGCGAAACCAATTTGTTGAGACTCACTTGAGGCTGTTGAGGGTATTTGCTTGTTATACAGGAAAATGGAGCGATGAGGATAAAACCAAGTATTTGGGATATCTACCAACTGATCATCTGGACCTGGAAGCTCTGCTTAACAAGCTGAATCTCTCTGATTATGTTGATCGTTTTGTGTTTCCAGAAGCTAGTGTTGAATTTGAGAATGGGCCAAAGCTTCGTTTTGTTGGGAGCTATGTCTCTCTTAATTTCCAGGCCAAATTTGCTACAACTCTCAAGTATGTATTGAGTTTCAAGACCCACCCTCCCGTTGGTGATGTTCTTCAACTTTCGCAGTTTGTATACTCTGTCGAGAAATATGTTTCCAGTCTTATCAGTGAACTACGAGCGTATTTCCACCTAGGGGATCATGTAGTTGAATTAAGAAACTTCAGATTGTTTGTTTCAACATTAGCGGAGCAGTCCATTGACCATCGTAAGTTGCAAAACCTTTTGGCTCGAGCTGGAGCTTTGGTTTTAATGGTCACAATTGCGGCTTGTGAAATTCAAATGATAGACCGAGATGCCAGGGATTTCGTGGCACAGTTGGAGTTTCATTCAGCAAATCTGTTGAAAATCATTGAAGAGAATGTTAAGGAAATTACTGGTGAAGTTCTTAGAGCTTATGCCGACTCTTTTGAGGCAACAAAGGCATCATCATCAAGAGGACAAGTCATTTGTGTTGTAACCTTTGAAGACCTGGTAGAGTCCTATGCCAATCTTTACCAATTGATTGAAAATCAAGTTAACATCCTTTGTCCAATGTTGGATAATCTGTGTTCCACTCCGGTGGTCAAGCTTCATTTCGCTGAGGAATTCAAATTGTTGTGGACGAATGGATTTTCAACAGTGGCTACGGAAGTGAGATCCCTTATTGGTTCCGCTCCTCCCAACATTGGGCTCTCAAAGTTGTGCTACAAACTTAATCTCATCAAGGCTGAGATTTTTGTCTTGCTGCTATACCGGATGAAATCATTTTTCCAAATTCCTACCGATGATGATGAAGTTGATATCATCATCTCTGCTTTTAAATCTCTTAGTAAGTATTTCAGAAAACCAGAAAAATACATGAGGGAGATCGGCAAATCCATTTTAGCACACATTGAAGAGTTGCTTGGAGACACGGCAGGAGGTTCATTATGCGACTCTCATGATCAGAGCCAAAAATACTCCCATGAGGACATCATCTCCAGATCAAGCCTTAAAATCTTAAAGTTCTTCCAGGCAGCAGCGTTGTTGGTTCATGTCGACCATGGAACCTCCCGGAGGTTCCTAGAAAGATATTGCCTTGAAATCCTTCAGAAGAGTTTGATCTTTATGAGAGCATTGCTTGACCAAGAGAATACAGAACTCTCTACAATTATTGGACCGGTGATTAGTGAGGCAATAGATTTTGTTTTTTCCTTTGGAGGTGGCGATGACAAAATGGAAGAACTCTTGCCTGATTCTTTCTCCAGAATCATTGAGCTTAACTTTGTTGAAATAACGACAGTGCATAGGCAATGTCCTTGGTCGTTGCCTTCTAGCTTCCCGAAAAGTGATGGACCTGTCTTTATTGATTTTCTCTTAAAAAATGTGAGAGAGTCTTTGGAGGGCAATCCTTCTATGACTGCAAGGTTATTCAAAGATGAAGCCCAACTACTGCTAGAGGAGTTGATGTTATTGCAATCGATTATCAAATATGCAAAGCAAAAATCGAATAATAATGAGAGTGAAGGTCGTGAAGGAGAACGCATTATTGGCCTAATATATGAGGCAGAATACATCATCACTTGCCTCTTTGAAGCTGCAGGTGTCCCATTATGGTACAAACAGATGATTCTCTTCAATACCATTGCCGAGGCTAAGCTTATCAAGTCTGTGATCCAAAAATATTATTCTCATCATCTCAAGGAAGAGAGGTGTCATGGGACCATCCTCGATGTTGCACGGGAGACTTTTAAAAGATCAAATAGTAACTCAAGCACTGATGATGTCATAGTGGGTTTGAAGGATCGAGCAAAAGACATAGAAGACCGACTCACAAATGGATCACCGAAGCTACAGGTTGTGTCAATTGTTGGAATGGGGGGAATCGGGAAGACAACATTGGTGAAGAAAGTTTATAACAGCCCCGCAATTCAGCATCACTTCAGGGATAGAGCTTGGTGTACAGTCTCCCAAGTATATCATAAAAGAGAGTTGTTGCTTCAGATATTGGTATGTATTACAGGGATTTCAAAGATCGAGGAAATGACTGATGATGATGTTGCTAATACTCTGAGGCGAAGTTTTAAAAGAAAAAGGTATTTGGTTGTGATGGATGACTTGTGGAGCTTAGAGCCTTGGAAAGACCTGCAGATGTCACTACCAGATGATGGAATGGGTAGTAGGATTTTATTCACAAGCCGTAATTCTGAGGTGTGTGTGGATAGGGAACCTTATTGTCTTCCTTTTCTCACATTCGAAGAAAGCTGGATTTTATTCAAACAGAAATGCAGCTGTCCAGAGGAACTGTTGGGAGTTGGAAGCCTTATTGTAGAGAATTGCAAGGGACTACCCCTTGCAATTGTAGTCATGGCTGCTCTTTTGGAGAAGGTAGAGAAGAGAAAGTATCAGTGGGAAGAAATTGCACAGCATATGATGTCACATTTAGCCCATGATGATGGAGACAGTCAGATCATGCTCATCCTGGAGTTAAGTTACAATCATTTACCATCTCATTTGAAACCATGCTTCCTTTATTTTGGAATGTTTTTGGAGGACCAGCAAGTTCCAGTTCAGAAGTTGAAATGGTTGTGGATTGCGGAAGGTTTTGTACCAAAGACGGATTCCAAGAGTTTAGAAGAAACAGCGGAGGAGTATTTGGTGGAACTAATAGGTCGAAACTTAGTAATGGAAGCCCAGAGAAGATCCAGGGGAGGTGTCAAAACATGCCAAATGCATGATATGGTGCGCTATCTTTGCTTGGAGAAAGCCAGGGAACAAAATTTCATGCAGCGAATCACTAAGGCAGATGGCGATGATCTAGATGATACATCTTCATCATATCGGCTGTGTTTCCAACCAAACATGGAGGAACATCGGGTTCCATTTAAACTTGTTGGTCCACATGTCCGTTCTCTAATGGTATTACCGAGGAAACAATCTACTGCTGTACATTTCGAGTTGAAAGAGTCACAAAATCTTAGAGTGATGGATATAAAATGCACCAGAATCGCAGCACGTTTTTTTGAAGAGTTAGAGGTGATGCGTTGCTTGAAATACCTAGCACTTCGAGGGAAATTTTCCACTGTGCCTTCAAGAATAGTTGAACTCTTTAACCTTGAGACTCTTATTCTGAAGACAGATCTTAGCAGGTATGAAAGTGATGGAATCAATGTACCGACTGAGCTTTGGATCATGCGCAAGTTGAGGCATGTTAGCATAGACTTCATCAGTCATTCCAGTTTGCCAGACCCTGATGAAATTAGTAATCTAGAAAACATTGTTACTCTTTCCTTTTTGACTTTTGGAAGATCGAGCCGCCCAGGACAAACTTTTTTGAGCAAGTTGATTGGATTGAAAGAATTGAAATGTCAGTTTGGCGGAAGGAATGGTGCTGATATTGAGAAAAACTATGTGTTCCCTGCAATGGACGCTCTGTATCAGCTGGAGTCACTGCATCTATGCCGTTTTCGCATTAGCCCCATTGTTTTTTTATTATGCAATTTCAGATTTCCCCCCAATCTCAAGAAATTGACTTTGAGCAGATTTGAGTTGCCCTGGGAATCCACTTCTGGCATCGGACAACAATTTTGCAATCTGGAGGTTCTAAAACTAACAGACTGTTACCAGCTGGATTCAACAACATGGAACGTGGCGGAGGGAGAGTTTCCGAATCTGAAATGTCTAATGATAAACTACAACTTCTGTTTTAAAAACTGGAATGCTTCAAGCGACTCTTTTCCTTCCTTGGAGCGACTAGTTTTGCAAGGTTGTACAGAACTTGTAGAGATTCCTATCAGTTTCGGGGAGATCCCTACGTTACAGATGATTGAGATGAACGATTGCAGTGAATCTGCAAATAAATCAGCTCTGAGAATTTATGAGCAACAGCTTGAATATGGAAATGAAGAGTTCAAGGTCTTGATAACTCGAAGATGAAGTGATCCAATTTCATTAGTCTTGTTCCAATTTATATATGCTCCTCAATTCTTGCCCTACTTTTCCTTAAAAGAGAAACTCTAACCATTTGTTGTTGGACTGAGAATGCGCATATGTTTACTTCATGGCTTACTGTTGCATGTTTCGTCAACCATTTTGTACTAGAGCAGGTTCATTGTTTTGGAAGGCTGGGACAATAACCACACCTGCATGGCTCTGCCTTCTTGTCATAAATTTGACAGCTTCATTGTTGTTGGTGAATGATGTTTCTTTGCTTATTTTGCTTTTCATTAGGGTTTTTTTTTTTTTAATTTCTTTTTGTTAAGTTCAAATGGGGTTCATGTTCATAATCATTTGTTTGTTTCATTGGGTTGTTATACATTTTCCAAATCAAATGACTTCATTTGTCTGCTTGTTTTTAGCATTATGTACTACTACTATTCAACACAAGATGCAATTGCAAGATCTTGCATTTTTTTTCTAATTTATATCATACTTGATTTTAAACCAATGAATTTTTTTTTTTGGTGGACTGTAAATTAATCATTTAAGATATAGTAATAGATGTCCCTTTGGCTCTATTTGTTTCCCTTTTTTTTCCCAAGTTTTGTCAAACTAATTTACATTTCTAATACACCTTTTTATATTATTAATAGTTAAAAAAAAACTGTAAACACACACTGAAATCTAAACATATCCGAAGTGTAAAAAAAATCTATCCCAGTAGACCCACTTAAATGTGGGTAAAACCCTCCTCTCTCTTATAAACCCTTAGTGAGAATCGAACCTGGTCTATAAACAGGAAAGATAACACCTAACCACTAGATTATTATTCAATTTCCAAAAAAAAATAAAGACTCTTATTATAGCATAACGAGTGAGTAACCTTTGGAGACATATGCCCCCAAGTAGATACATACATGATCATCTAAAAGTCAAGAGTCAATGTGAATCAATTATTGATGAAGGTGAGATGCAACATGCAAACTTCCAATATAGTATGAAATCCAATTTGGTTAGGAATGGGTTTTTTTTATTATAATTAAATCAGTAATGATGCTCGTATATTATAGACCTCAAAGTTTTTGTTTTCTGAGTGATTCAATCAAAGTTGGCGTCCCTTTCCTCTTCGGCGTAGCCGACTCCATTTGTATACATCGTCTGTATTTAATTTTTGTACGTTTTTTAAAATCATTATCATCTGTATTGGAAAGATCATTTTGAGTTTAATAATAGTCTTCATTACTTGCATTTGCGCAATCAAGCAGCAGCAGAAACGCTCTCTCTCTCTCTACAACTTTTCACACACACACACACGAGAAAAGAAAGAAAGGAAAGAAATTAAGCAAAACATCCTTCTTTTGAAAAAAGTAGTCTTTGTTCATGCAGAGAAGAGAATGAATCAGATTGGGAATTCTTCTTCATTCATCGATAATACTCCCTCCGATCATTTATATAAGACATTTTGATTTGTCCTAAGATTCTCTTAGAATGTTTTTTTAATTAACGAAAAAACTTTAAAAATATATTTTCACGTTTGTTATATTCTCTTGATTGTTATGAAATATTTTTAAGATTTATTCGTCAATTAAAACTGTGTATTAGTGAAACTTAAGACAAATTAAAATGTCTTATATTAAGGACCGAAGGGAGTAATAAGCTGATACTCATTTCTATTAGTTTCTCGGGACATCGATCTTCTTCAACTTTATTTACGAAGATTTTGTAATTACTAGTAGTTTCTAAGATTTTCAGATGTATTCATTTTTCTTACAATTAATTAGTGAACTAATTAATCAAGTATAAGAATGAAAAAGAATAGTTGAGGATCGAAGCAAAAAACTAGTAATTTTCCCAAAAGCTGATTAAAAGTCTTGAAGTTTTTAAGATGTTTTTGAAGGGATTGAAGCAATATAAGCTTGACATTCAGTAAGTAAGTTTCAGTTGGCATCATGAATACCAACACATTGATATTTTGACATCTTGGACTTCCCAATTGAGCTTGTTCTGTAATCTTCACCTTTACTTGAGGTCATTCCAAACTTTGAATTTTTTTTTTATTTTTTTTTATGCTTTCTCTCTTTACAAAATATTTGTGTAGTGGATTTGATCTTGTTTGGAATCTAATGAACTGGGTGCGTTCTGATTTGCTCCCTTTTGGCCTGGGATATAAGTTAAATTTGTTGACGAAGCATGGATCTGCACCAACGTTTCCGATTGGTTGAACCGGCGATTATAGCGGAGTCAAAATCCTAAAACCTACAAAAGAGGGCTTCGGGGTCTTCTGAGGGTAGACACTCCGATACTTAAGTCAGTAAGAGTAATTATTAATAGGGTATGAATTGTGGTGCGTAGAACGTACCTTTAACCGTGAAGGGTTGATCCCTATTTATAGAGTTAGGTTATGGAACTCTTTCTTGGTAGAAAGTAATTAAGAACCGACCTAGAAGCTTCTAGAGGCCGGTTGAACCTTTCACCGAACTTGGGCCGGCTTAGTTGCGGGCCGTACTAATTTGGACTCTACATTTCTGGATTGAACTGATTAATTTTATGGGTTCAACAGGGAGGGGTGCCAGTTCCCAATGTCTAAATCTCAGACCACGAAGAAATTAACCACATTTCATGAATTTGAATATGGCTGATTCTTACACTCTGTGTCTTACTAAGATAGACCAATTCTTTGAGGAAAATAATCAGCTCCCCGTCTGTTGGCTGACCGATTTGTTGAGACACACTTGACGCTGTTGAAGGTATTTGCGTGTGATACTGGGAAATGGAGTAATGAAGATAAAGCTAAGCATTTTGGATCTCTGCCATCTGACCTTGGGAAACTGGAAACTCAGCTTATCAGTAACAATCTCAGTGATTACGTTGCCGGTTTCGTGTTTTTGGAAACAAGTGTGAATTTTGGAAACGAGCCAAAGCTTTGTGTTGAGGGTGGAATCCACGTCCAAGCAAACATTGCAAGAGCTTTCAAGTACTTATTGAGCTTGGAGATTCACCCTTCTTCTTCCATTGTTGTATTTTTGCAGTTTGTTGACTCTGTCCATGACTATATTCTCAGCCTTGGCTTGGAGTTACAGGAGTATCGGAAAATGTATTTTCCAGCAAACAATAATTATTTGTCTGATTATTACCTGGATAAAAGTCACCCGGCCACTGCAGAAAGGTTACGATTCTTCAGGGTTGTCGTTTCCAATTTTGCGGAATCGTTGATTGACAAGGAGGAGGAGTTGCGAAACCTTTTGGATCGTGCTACAGCTTTGGTTTTCAGGGCTGCAATTGTGGCATGTGATATTCAGATCATTGATCGAAATGCGGTGGATTATCATAAGCAGGCTGACATGCTATCGCGGATACTACGCTTTGAAATCATTCCGTATGAAGTTAAGGTGATTTACGATGAAGTTGTAGGAGAAACTTTTGAGGCTCTAAAACCATCATCCAAGTGGACCCTTTATTTGTACGACAACATTTGAAGATCTCGTAGAGTCCTACACCAATTCTCAACAATTGGTAGAGCAGGTTAATCTCCTTCTTCCTGTCACTGTTAAGCTGTCCTCTGAAAAGGAGGTCTCTAAATTTGTTAGCCAGTTGGAGTTATTACTTAGTGAGAGAGTTTCAGCTTTGTCTAAGGAAGCTAGATCACTCACTGGTTCCAGTTCTCCAAGTATTTTGCCCTCTAAGTTTTCCCACAAAATTAATCTTATTAAGGCTGGGATTTTCGTCTTGGAACTCCACAATTAGAAATTCAATCTCATGATTTCTACTTATGGTGAAGTTGTCTCCATCGGGATGCTTTCAAATTCCTTGTTAAGTTCTTCAAAACCCCAAAGGCATACATGGATGAACGAGACAAATCCATATTGGCCATCATTGATGCTTTGCTTAGAGAGGAGGCCAAGGGGTCAAAGAGGCAGCAATGTAGTTCCGAATTAAGTATTAAGAGCTTTGTGTTTTTCAAGGCGGAGGCGATGTTGTTAGCTCTTATCAATACCGAAACCCCCTTGAAGTTGCTGGGAAGATATCACCTTGAAACACTTCAGAAGAGTTTGATCTTCTAGAGAGCATTGCTTGACCAAGATCGCGGAAAACTCTTCAAAATCATACAAGTTGTGGTTAGTAATGTGATAATCATGTTTTCTCCTTTGGAGTGGTCACTATGGCATACTATTAGACAGAACCCTCTTACATAATTATATCTCAACAATGGTTGATCTTAACAATAACGACATAATGGCACTTCACCGGAACTGTCCTTGGTTGTTGCTTTCTGATTTTCCCAAGAGTGATGGACCTGTCTTTGCTGAATCCCTCTTAAGAAATCTGAGGGAGTTTTTGGAGGATAATCCTACTACTGAAACATTGTTGAAAGATCAAGCTCAAGTGTTGCTACAGGAATTACAGATCTTGCAATCATTTATGAAAGATGTGAAGCTGAAAAATATTAATCAGAGTGATGAAAATCTTGGAGGATCCCGCATTTTATGCCTAATATTTGAGGTAGAGTACATCATCACTAAACTCTTTGAAGATGAGTGTGTCCCAAGTTGGTACAAACAGCTTATGCTTTTTGATGCCGTATGCAAGGCCAAGCTTATCAAGTCTGAGATTCAGGAATATCATCGCCATCACAATGAGGCGAAGCCTCATGGAACCAATCTAAATGATGTAGGACAGACTTTGGGAGCATCAGATAACTCAAGAACTGATGAAGTCGTAGTGGGTTTTGAGGATAGGGCAAAAGACATAGAAGTCCAACTCAAAGTTGGATTACCTAAGCGGCAGATTCTCACAATTGTTAGAATGGGAGGAGTTGGAAAGACTACTTTGGCGAAGAAAGTTTATAACAGCCTCTCAATTCCACGTCACTTTAGTGGTCGTTCTTGGTGTACAATTTCCCAAGTGTATCAAAGAAGAGAATTGCTACTTGAGATATTGGGATGTATTGCAGAGGTTCCTAAGAACATAGGAAGGAGTGATGATGACATCGCTAATATTCTACGGCGAAGTTTAAAAGGAAGAAGATACTTGGTTGTCTTGGATGACATGTGGAGCACAAAGGCTTGGGAAGACTTGCAGATTTCATTACCCGATGATGGAAAAGGGAGTAGGATTTTAATCACAAGCCGTAATTCTGAGGTGGCTTTGGAAAGGCAACCTTATCTTCTTCCTTTTCTAACAGTTGAAGAAAACTGGAATTTATTCCAAGAGAAATTATTTCACGGAGGAAGCTGTCCCGAAGAATTGTTGGAAGCTGGAAGGCTTATGGTAGAAAATTGCAAGGGCTTACCTCTAGCGATTGTAGTCATGGCTGGTCTTTTAGAGAAGGTAGAAAAGAGAAAGGATCATGCACATACTGGAGTTGAGTTACAATCATTTACCATTGCATCTGAAACCATGCTTCCTTTATTTGGGAATGTTTTTCGAGGACCAGCAAGTTCCAGTTCAGAAGTTGAAATGGTTGTGGATTGGGGAAGGTTTTGTACCGAAAAACGATTCCAGGTGTTTAGAAGAAACAGCGGAGGAGTACTTGGTGGAACTTATTGGTCGAAACTTAGTGATGGAAACCCAGAGTAGATCCAGGGGAGGTTTCAAAACATGCCAAGTGCATCGGATCATGGAAAGCTAGGGAAGAAAATTTCATGCAGCGGATCATGGAAGCAAATTTCTGCGATCCAGGTTCCTCATCTTCTTACCTAGAATCTTCATCATATCGGCTGTGTTTCCAACCAAACTTGGAGCAGCATGGGTTCAACTTATTGATCGACATGTTCACTCCCTACTGTTCTTTCCCTCTAATGGTCATACGTTAGATGGTAGTACTGTTGAGTGGCCAAATTCAAAATTTCTTCGAGTGTTGGATGCAGAACACTTGCGGTTGAGAAACATTAATTTCGAGAAATTTGAGTTGATGCGTTGCATAAAATATCTAGCACTTTGGGGAGAATTTTATTCTGTGCCTTCATCAATAGTTCAGCTCTTCAACCTTGAGACTCTTATTCTGAAGCAAGACACAGGTGAAATCAGAGTATCTAATCAACTTTGGATGATGCGCAAATTGAGGAATGTTCACATAAAAGCCATTAGTCATTCCAGTTTGCCCGGCCCTGATGAAATTGGGAATCTAGGAAATATTGTTACTCTTTCGTTGTTGACTATTAAGAATGCCAGGCCAGTGGAAACTTTTTTGAGGAGGTTGATTGGAATCAAGAAATTGAAATGTCAACTTAAAAGTGATGGGCATATTGATCCTGAGGAAAGCCATTTGTTCTCTGCAATGGGCAATCTGCATCAGCTTGAATCACTGCATCTATCTTGCTATTCCATTGCCCATATGATTCATTTTCCAAGCCAGCTCAGGTTCCCCATAAATCTCAAGAAATTGACTTTAAGGAGATTTCGCCTGCCCTTGAAATCTGTTTCCGCCATCGGACAACAACTACGCAATCTTGAAGTTCTGAAAATAATGTATTGTTATGAGATGGATTCAACTTGGGACATGGAAGAAGATGAGTTCCGGAAGCTGACATATTTAAAGATATGCGCATTTCGGTTTTAGAATCTGGAATGCTTCAAGCGATTCCTTTCCTCAGCTTGAGCGACTAGTTTTGCAAGCATGTCGTAAACTTGAAGAGATTCCTATTGATTTTGGGGACATCTCCACATTACAGAAGATCGAGGTCAAAAATTGCAGGGAGTCAGCTTGTAAATCTGTCGAGGCGATTCACAAGCAACAGCTGGATTGGGGAAATGAGGAGTTCAAGGTCTCAATAACAGGAATTAATAATCGCTGAATTAATAAATTATTTTAAATTAATTGTGTTGGGACGGTCAAAATTTATTATTTGAGAGAATTATTAAATAATCATAGAATTAATTAATAAATTATTAATAATTTAAAGAATTTCTCCAAGGAAACAAGATTCTTACTAAATTGTCTAATTTCCAATTTTTGTTTACTAAAAAAAGCAAATATCGTATTTTCCGTAATTTCATTACTATTGATGGTGGAAGTTTTTATTCTTGCTTCCAGTGTTTGACGTCGCAGTTGACTTTCTATCATTTCAGATGGAGAAAGACCAAAATGAGTGATTGAGTTTCATCATCATTATTTGCTATTCCATATTAGCATTTTGCCTTGAAGTTTCAAGGCAAAGCTCAGCAAATAAAATCAAGAAAAACAGTTTGAAAGAGAAGACTCTTGGTGCTGTCCTTCACCAGTAAGGTATGTTTTGTGATCTTTTGAGCCAACAGATTCGACTGTGCTTCAATTTTTGTAATTTCTTCGCCTTTATTTTTTGTATTCATATTTATTTATTTCTTCTCCTTGTACTGGGACTAAAATGGAAGAAGAGTAGAGAATGGTGTAATTAATCATGATCAATCCAGGGTTGAAGCTAGTATATATCACCCTCACATGTTTGATGTTTTGTCTGATCCATTAAGTTTGGTCTGCACCCATATTATGGCACTTGATTAAAGAATTTTGACCCACAAAATGGTTTTAAGTTTTAACATCTCTCTGAACTTTTTTGGTTGAAGGAGACAAATTTTGGTAGTGAATTGAAGGCAGTCTAGCTAGGAGTCCATGCAGAAGAAGAGGTTGGGTGCAAGTTCCTAATTTTTCCTTTGAATCTGAGACCTGTCTGTTGGTTGAATATGGCTTCTGATTCTTATAGTTCGTGTCTCACAAAGATTGATCAATTTCTTGGAGAAAATGATCAGCTCTATCCCTGTTGGCAGACATGGTTTGTAGACACACACTTGAAGCTGCTTAGGGTATTTGCGTGTTATACTGGGAAATGGAGTGATGAGGATAAAGATAAGTATTTGGTATCTCTACCAACTGATCATCGGGAGCTGGTAGCTCAGATTAACAGCAACAATTTCTGTGATTATGTTGCTCGTTTCGTGTTTCCCAAAGCAAGTGTTGGTTTTGAGAATGAGCCAAAGCTTCGTTTTAAGGATAGTTATGTTTCTCTTAAATTCCAAGCAGATATTGCAACAACTCTCAAGTATTTACTGAGGTCGACCCACCCTCCCATTGGCGATGTTCTTGTATTTTCTCAATTTGCGGCCTCTGTCCATGACTATGTTGCCAGTCTTTGGTTGGAATTTCAGGAGTACGTTGAATGCGGCATGCTAACATATTCTTTCATTTACTCTGAAGTGGAAGGAAACTACAAGGCCGTGGCACGAGAGTTGGGATACTTAAAATCTTCCATTTCCACTTTACCGGACAAGGAGAAGTTCCAAGACCTTTTGTCACGTGCTGGAGCTGTTTTCCTAAGGGCTGCAATTGTGGCATGCGATAATCAATTCATTGATCGAGATGCCTGGCTTTTTGCAACCGATATGGCTTTGCATTCAAGAAAATTGATTTCAGTTGTTAGGAATGGTGAAATTGTGAGGATTTATCGTGAAGTTCTAGGAGTTTATATCCGCATTATTGAGGCTACAAAACCATCATCATCATCATCAAGAGGACATATCATTTCTTCTACTTCAACATTGGAAGAGCTAGTAGAGTCATGTGCCAATCATTACCAATCACTAGAGAATCGAGTTAACGTCCTCCTTTCTGTGGTGGACAATCTGTGGTACAGTCCGGTGGTCCAGAAGAATCTCAATCATGAACTGAAGCTGTTGTGTAATGGAGTTCTAAATTTGGCTATGAAGGCTACATCATTCAATGGTTCCACTCCTAATATTGTGCTCTCGAAGTTGTGGTACAAACTCAATCTCATCAAGGCTGAGTTTTTTGTCTTGGAGCTGCAGAGTCTAAAGACCAAGTTAATGATTTGTACCCACGGCCACCATGCTGCCATCAGCAATGCTTTTAAACTCCTTGGTAAATTCTTCAAGACACCAGAGGTATACATGGAGGAAAGAGAAAAATACATATTAGCATTGATTGAAGCTTTGCTTAGAGAGGAGGCACGAGAACCATCGAACGGCTCACGCGATCAGAACCAAAAATTTACCCAAGAGGATATGATCTCCAAATCTAGTCTTAATATCTTTAGGCTTTTTAAGGCAGAGGCAATGTTGTTGGCTCAGATGGACATCAAAACCACCATGAGGTTCCTGGAAAAATATTGCCTTGAAATTCTTCAGAAGAGTTTGATCTTCTTGAGAGCATTGCTTGACCTAGAGGATGTAGACCTTTATACACTTAGTGAAACAATAAATCTTGTTTTCTCCCTAGGAGGTGGTGATGACAAAATGAAAGACATGAGCCTTTTGCCTAATTCTTTCTCCAGCATGGTTAAGCTTCACTTTGCTGAGATAAGGACAGTGCATCAGCGGTGTCCTTGGTTGCTTTCCACCTTCCCTAAGAGTGATGGTCCTGTCTTTGCTGATTTTCTCTTAAAAAAATTGAGAGAGTGTTTGGAGGAGAATCCTTATAGTACAATTGCGTTATTGAAAGATCAAGCTCAAGTGTTGCTACAGGAATTACAGTATTTGCAATCCTTTATCAAAGATGTGAGGAAGAGAAGAATCGATGAGAGTGAAGATCTTGAAGTAGCACGCATGATATGCCTGATATACGAGGCAGAGTACATCATCATTAACCTCTTTGAAGATGCAGGTGTCCCAGTATGGTACAAACACCTAGTTCTTTTAAATGCCATTTCCGAGGCCAAGCTTATCAGGTCCGAGATTCAAAAATATCATCATCGTCACAAGGAGAAGAGAGATCGTGGGAACATCCACAATGTTGCACGACATACCTTGGAAGGAGTCAATGACTCAAGAACAAACCAGGTGATTGTCGGTTTTGAGGATCGGGCAAGAGACATAATAGATCAACTCACAACTGGATCATCAAGGCGACAGATTGTCTCAATTGTTGGAATGGGGGGAATCGGGAAGACAACATTGGCCATGAAAGTTTATAATAACCTCTCAATTCAACATCACTTCAGGGATCGAGCTTGGTGTACCGTTTCCCAAGTATATAACAAAAGAGAGTTGCTGCTTGAGGTGTTGGGTTGTATTGCGGAGATTACGGAGCAGATCAAGAAGATGGGTGATGATGACATTGCTAATAAACTACGACAAAGTTTAAAGGGAAAAAGATATTTGGTTGTTATGGATGACATGTGGAGCATTGAGGCTTGGACTGACTTGCAGATGTCATTTCCAGATGATGCAAAGGGCAGTAGGATTTTATTCACAAGCCGTAATTCTGAAATGGCTTTGGAAAGGCAACCTTATCATCTTCCTTTACTCAATGCAGAAGAAAGTTTGAATTTGTTTAACGAGAAGTTATTTCATGGAGGCATCTGTCCCAAAGAACTGTTAGGAGTTGGAAGGTTTATTGTAGAAAATTGCCAGGGACTACCTCTTGCCATTGTAATCATGGCTGGGATTTTGGAGAAGGTCAAGAAGAGGAAAGATTGTTGGGCAGAAATTGCAGAACATCTAATGTCACATATAGCCCATGATGGTGGGGATACGCGGTTCGTGGATATCCTGGAGTTCAGTTATAATCATTTACCAACACATCTTAAACCATGCTTCCTTTACCTGGGAATGTTTCGGGAGGATCAATATATTCCTGTTCAGAAGTTGAAATTGATGTGGATTGCAGAAGGCTTTGTACCAAAAAAGGATTCCAAGAGTTTAGAAGAAACAGCTGAGGAGTACTTGGTGGAACTAATTGCTCGAAACTTAGTGATGGAAGCCCAGAAAAGATCCAGGGGAGGTGCCAAAACATGTCACATGCATGATATGGTGCATTATCTCTGCTTGGAGAAATCTAGAGAAGAGAATTTTATGCAGCTTATCACTACAAGGACAGATGGTGGTGCCGATTTAGGTGACTCATGCTCTTCCATCGTATCTTCATCATATCGGACATGTTTCCAACTAACTTTGGAGCAGCTCCGGGCTCAACATCAGTCTCTTGATCCACATGTTCGTTCTTTACTGTTCTTTCCCACTATTAGTAATCAAGATAAATTTGTAAGTAGGCCTCTTCAGTTGCAAGATGCAAAATTTCTGAGATTGCTAGATATGGTATACGTTCAAATCGTACCACTTTCTCTTGAAGAGTTTATCTGGATGCGTTGCTTAAAGTACCTAGCAGTTTCGGGAGATTTTTCTTCTGTGCCTTCATCAATAGTCCAACTTGTCGACCTCGAAACTCTTATTCTGAAGGGAAATGCAAAGACAATTGATGTGTCGACTAAACTTTGGAGCATGGGCAAATTGAGGCACGTTCAAGTAACTTTCATTAGTCATTCCAGTTTGCCAGGCCCTGAAATCGAATGTCAAGGAAATATTGTTTCTCTTTCCTGGTTGACTTTTGGCCGATCAACTTCGAGCCGAGGGGAAACTTTTTTGAGGAGGTTCACTGGAATTAAAAAATTGAAATGTCAATTTCAAAGAGAAAGAGGTTCTGATCCTGAGGAAGGCTATCCGATCCCTGCAATGGACGCTCTATATCAGCTTGAGTCATTACATCTATTTCGTTCTCCTGTTTCCTGGCGCCGTTCTACCGTTTCTTTTCCAGGAAAGTTCAGATTCCCTGCAAATCTTAAGAAACTGACTTTGAGCAGTTTTGACCTGTCCTCGAGATGTATTTCTACCATTGGACAACAACTGAGCAATCTGGAGGTTTTGAAATTAAGAAAATGTTACTGGATGGATTCAGTGTGGAGCGTCGCCGAAGGAGAGTTTCTGAATCTGAAATATTTGCAGATATACGATTTTGATATTGTAATTTGGAATGCTTCAGCTGATTCCTTTCCTCTGCTTGAGCGACTAGTTTTGCTACATTGTTATCATCTTCAAGAGATTCCTAGCAGTTTTGGGGAGGTCCCTACATTACAGGTGATACAGATGAACACATGCAAGAAGTCTGCTTATAAATCTGCAGAGAGGATTTCTGAGCAACAACATGAGTTGGGAAATGAGGAGTTCAAGGTCTTGATAACTGGATGAGGAAGGTGAGCCAATTACATCGTTCTTACTCGTATCAGATGTTTGGATATTTTAGGTTTCGCAATTGGTAGCGTATAAAGATATATGTTTCATTAACATATTTTCTCCCTACATTTTCAGTAGCGAACACTAACCATTTGTAGGATTGAGAATGCATATTTTTCAAGTATACAACTGCTGGTTACATCAATAATTTTGTATTATCATCTATGGTAGGTTTACTCTAGGAAGGTTGGGACAAGAAACACCTCCATGGCTCTGTCTTCTTTTAGTGGACTTGATGGCCTTTTTGTTATTGTTCAATAGTCAGATTTCCTTGTCAATTTTCTTAATTATGAGGTTCCTTCAAGTCCAGATGGATTTCTGTATTCATCATTCGTTGGTTTCATTAGGTGTCTGGTTGGTGTATATGGTCATAAGTTTATCAATTTTTAAGACATGCGAAAACAATGTACATGTTCATGAATCAAGCCTTCATTAGAATGTGCTTGTGTAGTATCTTAAAATGATAAATCTATCCTATAGATAGGATCGTTATAAATGGATAAGTCGCGGCAATATAAAGCCAATTTCAAACAATCAGCAGAGTGGATCTTATAAAATGGAGAAAAAGTCATTCCAAGTTGCAAATTGTCGCCTGAGTGAGCAATCCTATCAAGACGACAAGACCTAAAAGATGCTGAACTGTGCCTGAGTGGGTCTTCGAATGATCTTGTGGCCATTCACCAGTCTGATACTGGAGAGTATGTGTGCATGGCGGAGGAATGAACTTTCAAGAACGTAACTTTGTGGCTCAAAGACGGGAATTCTGTGAGAGAGTTGTTTTACAGGGGATGAATGAACTTCGTTATGGTTCATTGGTTCTCAAGTTTATAGAAATGTTGTCGAGGCTGCTGCGCCTTGTAATGAAATTTTTATTCAAAACTGTGGAATTTGTTGCCTTCAACATATTTTGATGAAAGAACTCATACTTTTCTCATCATTTGTGCCTTTTTTTTTAATGAAATTATTATGCTTTTGCGGCTTGTACATGTGCGGTTCTTGTTGCAGAACTACTTTGGTGTGATTTGGTATGAGCTTGAAACTCTGCGCGTTCTGAACACAATTTTCTTTGGGACACTTGCCTATAAACCTTGGCCTATTAGCCAAAAACAGACTCCAAGGAGCTCGCTGGTTGGATGCGGAATCATGTAAGTCAGTTCCCCAATCAACTCAAGGCGTACACAAGCGCGAATTGCCCTGGCGAACAAAACACTAGCGTTATGTATCCTTATCACAGAGATTAAGGAAAGAGTCTTTAACATATAATGTGCGAGTCAATATGTGAGTAACCGCGCATGAATATACAAGCTATACTAAGTCTACATTGATTTGAGTACAGTGGAGGAAGACTATTTCTCGACTGCCTTAACATCTGCAAAATAACAAGTCTATTAATCATCTATATCATTAATGTGAACGAAAATGATGGTGCATGATCATGTAAACTAAAACATCATCAGCAAGAATTTATGAACTTGGTCCCATTAATTTATTGCTGCTCCAAATTGTATGTGTTCCATTTTGATCCAATCATAATGTATAGTTCTATCCTCTCTTGTTTCTTCTTTCTTCCCAATTATTTCCTAAACAGATCTCCCATTTTTTTTATCTCTTCCATCTTCTTTGCTAAATTGAAGTGCAGTCAAAAGGAGGAGACTACCCACAAAAACAAAAGCTAAGCAGGTCAACAATTTGGTTTTAGTTCCTGTTTCCCCTGCTGTTTCAAAAAGCCCTGGTCCATCAGCAGCAGCAGCAAAGGTAGCTTTTTTTTTTTTTGGTTTTTTAGTGTGATCATTTCCACTGGTATGTGACTTTATTCAGTATATTGTATAATGTTATGTTTTTCTTTCCCCCTTTTTTTTTAAAGATTTTTGAGTTACGTTTGAAACAAACTTATATGAATCCACAAAGTTCTCATATTAAAAAAAAGAGATGAATATAAGCAGGCATATAAATTGGAAAGTTATATGCTTGCCGCAAGATTGCTTCTTTCTGGGTTGTAATTTCTCAGTTCCGGAATATAATCCAGTATTATTGAATTTTTTTTAGAAAAAAAAAATTAAAGCAAAGTGGAATGCTTTTCGAGGATGGAGGGTATGTAAATCTATCTATGTCCAACAAAAAGGGGATGGATTATTTTGTCTGCATAAAAAGTTGAAGAACAATGACTTTAATATCTCCCTGAACTTGTTTAGGAGTCCAACTGCATTCCAACTGAACTTCAGTCTGCAGAAGAAGAAGGTGCAAAAGTTCCTAATGCTTTCTTTCAGTCTCATACCAATCTATTGAAGCTAAATATATGGGTACTGATTCTTATAATAATCGATGTCTTACTAAAATCGACCAATTCCTCAATGAAAATGGCCAACTCCCTCCCTGTTGGCGAACCCGGTTTGTTGAGACACACTTGAGGCTGTTGAAGGTTTTTGTGTGTTATACTCGAAATTTCTGGAGTGATGAAGATAATGAGGTTAAGCATTTGGGATCACTTCCAGCTGAGCTTTGGAAACTGGAAGCTCAGCTGCTCAGTAATGATCTTGGTGATTACGTTGCCCGTTTCGTGTTACCAGAACCAGTTGTTGATTCGAAGAATGATCCGAGGCTTTGGTTTCCATTTCCAGTCTCTCTTAATTTTCAAGCAAACACAGCAACAACTTTCAAGTACTTGTTGAGTTTGGAGACCCGCCCGTCTCCCATCAGTGATGTTGCTGTGTTTTCTCAGTTTGCTGACTCTGTCCGGGACTATCTTGTCAGCCTTCGCTTGGAGCTAGAGGAGCATAATAAGTTGAGTTATTTTCACGGGATTGATGAAGTCGAGCAAAAGTACAATGACAGTGAAAATAAGTTAGGTCTCTTCAGGTCTTTCATTTCCACTTTAGCAGAAGCGTATGTTGAAGAGAAGGAGTTGCGAAACCTTTTGGATCGCGCTCGAGCTTTAGTTTTAAGGGTTGCAACTGTGGCATGTGATAATCAAATAATTGATCGACATCCAGGGGATTATGGAAAACGGATGGTGGCACGATCACGTTATCTCTTTGAAATCATCCCGGGTCATTTTGAGGCCCTATGCCCACCTTCAAGAAGACCTCTTACTACTTCTATGATCACATTTGAAGATCTGGTAGAGTCCTATGCCAATCTTTACCAAATGGTAGAGAATGAAGTTAACATCCCTCCTCCTGCCGTGTTTAAACTGTGTTCCAATCCGATGGTCCAATATTTCACAGACGAATTGAAGTTATTGTTTAGGCAGGAAGTTTCAGCCGTGTTTATGAAGGCTAGATCATTTATTGGTTGCAGTTCTCCCGGTATTTTGCCCTCTAAGTTCTTCCACAAAATGAATCTTATCAAGGCTGAGGTTTTTGTCTTGGAGCTGCACAATCAAAAAACCAATGTCATGATTCCTACCGATGATAAAGTTGTTACCATCGGAAATGCTTTCAAATGCCTTAGTATATTCTTCAAAACCCCAGAGGTATACATGGATGAAAGAGACAAATCAATAGTAGCATGCATTGAAGCTTTGCTTAGAGAAGAGGCAGCAGGATCATTATTCAGCCTAGATGATCAGAGCATTCTTCCCAAATTAGGTCTTAAAATATTTGTGCTTTTCAAGGCAGCCACAAAATTGTTGATTCTTATAGACAACAAAGCCAGCTCGAAGTTCCTTGAAAGATATTGCCTTGAAATTCTTCAGAAGAGTTTGATCTTTTTGAGAGGACTGCTTGACCAAGCGGATGGAGAACTCTTTGCAATTAGTGAACCAGTGATTCGTGAAGCAATAAATCTTGTTATTGCACTTGGATGTTTTAGTGACAGAAGGGAAGGCATGAAACTCTTGCCTGATTCTTTTCCTAGAATGGTTGAGCTTAACATGGCTGAAATCGGGGGAGTGTATCTGCAATGTCCATGGTTGTTGATTTCCAACTTTCCAAAGAGTGATGGACATGTCTTCGTTGATTCTCTCTTAAGAAATATGGATGAGTTTTTGGAGGGAAATCCTTCTCAGACTGTTGTGTTATTGAAATATCTAGCTAAAGTGTTGCTACAGGAACTACAGGTTCTGCATTCATTTATCAAAAAGATAAAGCAGAAAAATGGTAATCGGAGTGAAGATCTTGGAGATGGACGCATACCACGCTTATTTTATGAGGCAGAATACATCATCACTAACCTCTTTGAAGATGGATATTTCCCTGTATGGTACAAACAGCTGGTCCTTCTTAATGCCATTGTCGAGGCCAAGATTACCAAGTCTGAGATCGAAGAATATCATCTTCGTGACAAAGAAGAGAGACATCATGGGACCATCCTCAATGTTCTACAACAGACTTCGGAAAGATCAAACAACCAAGGACCTGATGAAGTCATAGTCGGTTTTGAGGACCAGGCAAAATACATAGAAGACCAACTCAAAGCTAGCTCACCAGAGCGACAGATTATCTCCATTGTTGGAATGGGGGGAAGTGGAAAGACGACATTGGCGAAGAAAGTTTATAACAGCCTCTCAATTCAACGTCACTTCTGGGTTCGAGCTTGGTGTACAGTTTCCCAAGTGTACCGAAAAAGAGAGTTGCTGCTTGAGATATTGGAATGTGTTGTAGAGATCACTGAGGAGATCAAGAGAAAGGATGACGATGATGTTGCTGATACTTTGAGAAAAAAGTTGAAAGGAAAAAGATATTTGGTCGTAATTGATGACATTTGGAGCAAGGATGCTTGGAATGACTTGCGGCTCTCACTACCAAACGATGCAAAAGGGAGTAGGATTTTATTCACTAGCCGTAATTTTGAGGTGGCTTTGGAAAGGGAACTTTATCGCCTTCCTTTACTCACTGTTGAAGAAAGCTGGCTTTTATTCGAAGAGAAACTGTTTCACGGAGGAAAGTGTCCCAAAGAACTGTTGGAAGTTGGAAGGCTTATTGTAGAAAACTGCAAGGGGTTACCTCTGGCAATCATAGTCATGGCTGGTCTCTTGGAGAAAGTAGAGAAGAGAAAGGATCGATGGGAAGAAATTGGGCGCACTTCAATGTCTCGTACAGCCCGTGATGATGGAGACAATCAGATCATGCACATGCTGGCGTTGAGTTACAATCATTTACCATCTCATCTAAAACCGTGCTTCCTTTATTTCGGAATGTTTTTGGAGGATCAGCAAGTTCCAGTTCAGAAGTTGAAATGGTTGTGGATTGCCGAAGGTTTTGTACCAAAGGAGGACTCCAAGAGTTTGGAAGAAACCGCTGAGGAGTACTTGGTGGAACTAATTGGTCGAAACTTAGTGTTGGAAGCCCAGAGTAGATCCAGGGGAGGTTCCAAAACATGCCAAGTGCATGATATGGTGCGCTATCTTTGCTTGAAGAAAGCTAGGGAAGAAAATTTCATGCATCGAATCATGGATGCGGATTTTCGCAATCCAGGTTCTTCATGTTCTTACCCAGTATCTTCATCATATCGGCTGAGTTTCCAACCAGACCTGGAATGGCATTGGTTTCAATTTATTGAAACTCGTGTTCGCTCTCTACTGGTCTTCCCCTCTCATGGTTACAAGTTAGATGGCAGGACTGTTGAGTGGCCAAATTCAAAATTTCTTCGAGTGTTGGATGCAGAACAATTGCAGTTGAGTGACATTAAGTTTGAGAAGTTTGAATTGTTGCGTTGCATAAAATACCTAGCAGTTCGGGGAAGTTTTTATTCTGTGCCTTCATCAATAATAGTTCAACTCTTCAACCTTGAGACTCTTATTCTCAAGGGAGACCCGCTTGGAAATCATGTGTCGACTGAACTTTGGAGGATGCGCAAATTGAGGCATGTTCACATAAAAGCCATTAGTCATTCCAGTTTGCCTGGCCCCCATGAAATTGAAGATCTTGGAAATATTGTTACTCTTTCCTTGTTGACTATTAAGGATCCAAGCTCAGTCGAAAAGTTTTTGAAGAGTTTGATTGGAGTTAAGAAATTGAAATGTCAATTTATAAGAGATGGGGATACTGATCGTAAAAGCTGTGTAACACCTGCAATGGACACTCTACATCAGCTTGTGTCACTGCATCTATCTTGTTATTCCATCGCCCATATGATTACTTTTCCAAGCAACTTCAGGTTCCCCATAAATCTCAAGAAATTGACTTTAAGGAGATTTCGCCTGCCCTTGAAATCTGTTTCCGCCATCGGACAACAACTACGCAATCTTGAAGTTCTGAAAATAATGTATTGTTATGAGATGGATTCAACTTGGGACATGGAAGAAGATGAGTTCCGGAAGCTGACATATTTAAAGATATGCGCATTCGGTTTTAGAATCTGGAATGCTTCAAGCGATTCCTTTCCTCAACTTGAGCGACTAGTTTTGCAAGATTGTCCCAAACTTGAAGAGATTCCTATCAGTTTTGGGGACATCTCCTCATTACAGATGATCGAGGTCAAAAATTGCAGGGAGTCAGCTTGTAAATCTGTCGAGGCGATTTACAAGCAACAGCTGGATTGGGGAAATGAGAAGTTCAAGGTCTCAATAACTGGAATGCTGGATGATGAAGGTAAAGCCAATTTCTTTAGTCTTGCTGGTTTGCAAATGTTTGTTTTCCAAGTTTCCTTTTTGGTAGCAATGCCGAGATTCATTGTCTCCCTCCGCTTTGTCTGTCTTCCTAATACTACAATTTTACTGTATATCCAACAGAAACATCAGAAAGTGAAGATGACGATGATGAGTATGATGGATGGCTTAACTGATGGCCATTGGCAACTAAGCCAGCTTGAAGTTCCTGGAAAGATATTCCCTTGAAATTTCTTCAGAATAATCGGATTGTTTTGAGATCATTGCTTTGCCAAGAGGATGGATTACTCTCTACAACTTGTGAAGCAGTGATTCATGAAGCAATAAAATATGTAATGCAAACCCAAAGGCGAAGATAAGCCTAATTTGGCTAATGAATAAGCTGATTCACTGTCATTGTGCCCTTATGTTTGTAAGAATGAGCTGATTCACAAACGTAATCTCATCTGACCATTAAACATAAATAGGAACAAATATTATGTATCAGGGCCTCGGACATTTGATTTCGGGGGAAGAAAAAAAGAAAAAGAAAGGAAGGAAGAGCTTTGATAAGCCTCAAATGCACACAACTCCAAAAGACTGAAACCAGTATCCCAGGGAAGCAAAAATAAAAAATGCTAAGGCTGCGCATCCGGGGAATCGAACCCCGGTCAGTACCGTGGGAGGGTACTATGATACCACTACACCAGATGCGCTTGTTTACTATCGCCGTCCAAGTGACACTTGCTTTAACTAAATTTTTCTGGTAATTATAAGTTAATCTTTATTATAGTATTCCTATACGTGTATATTATGTTTCTAGAAGAATAATAATTAAAATGAAAACGGCTATTAGCTCCAGATTTTTGAACGAATTATTCCAATATTCCAAACGTCAAAAAAGATTAATAAAGCAACAAAATTTGCAATCCTATACGTAAACTAATTAATTTAAACATGCGCTCGTCTTTTTTTTTTTTTTTGAAAGGAAAAGTTTTCATTCATTCATTTTTGTTGAAAATCGTTCAGTTGTGTTTGACAAAAAGTCGCAGGGATATGCGCTCCTCCTAGGTAGCTACTTTCTTCTTGATGTTAGATGGTTTAGCGATAATAATGAATTTAGGCTGTCATTACTGATAAATAATAATAATATTCGAGCACAAAATCCACTAATATTCCCCTCATTTGTTTAATTTTTTATTTTATTTTATTTTATTTTAGCAAAATGGAATTGATCCGACTTCATCACCGAATCATGATTTTCATGCATGGAGAAGAACTTACTTTATTCTTCCACAACCCCGGACGTAATTGCGCTTAATAATCCTAGTATTTTATACTACTAGCTATAAAGTTAAGCATAGTTAATGATAAGGAAGAGAGAAGATTATCCGTTTTGTTTGTAATTGATTAATGCCTAATCTCGGGGTTGAGGGTGCAAAATATCGATTCCAATCAAAGTGTATAAATAATAAATACTGTAGTCTATCAGCTTTAGAAAGGCATGTCCACTGGAATTCTGGTAACATAGTATCTTCTCTTTGGAGAGAAGCAGGGTAGATTTATAGTGAATAATTTGATGAAATTAATTAACGAAACAGTCATCGCTTAAAAAGAGAAGCTAATTATTCTCAATGATCATCGTATAGATTACTTATTAACTTTCGTTATGTTCTCATGTGACAACATAAATGGGCGTCTCACACAACGCGTTGTTATGTGAAGATTCCAATCTCGAAAATGGAATTAATAATGAAAAACTGAAAATGATAGATTCACATTTTGATCATCAAAATGTGCGTAAATCAGACAGACACTTATGAGTGAGACAGATGATCTGATCTTTAATGACAAATCCATGAGTTGGTCTGGTTTCAGAAAAATTGGCTTGTACTTTTGGCATTTGTATTTTGAAATGATGTCTCTAGTCCAGACCAAATACATTGTTCAACAGAATTTTCATATAATTTAGTGTTAAATTACAGATTTTGCATGCACAAACTAATGCTACAACCATCTTTCCAGTGAACGTGAAGAATTATTCCTCTTCTATTAATTGATAGAGATGGATCATATCCTTCTTTTTTTTTTCTTCTTTCTTCAGCTGAGTTTTTTACAAGGAATTAATGGAATAAACTAAAAATGATGAATCCACATCAAAATGTAACAGTCGTACAAAACTTTTTGGTATTTTTTTTTTCCCCCGAATCCTTTTTATTTTTTCACCTTTATGTCCTTTTTCTTTGGGCTTGGAACTTGGAAGTGGGAACAAAATGTGTGAATCACTGCTTTTTTTCACATAATTTAAACATCGTAGGACGACTTGGGGGGGATATATTTGGCTTTTGTAATTGGGACAATCGATCACATGGAAGTCTTTTTTTTTTATTTTTTAATTGGACATGGAAGTCTCAGTTGCAAATTATTCTTACCACAATCTCTTCGTTTAAAGTTGTGAATGTTGGAAAAAGTGGTTAGTTAGGACGCCACCATGTCTTGGGAATGAAGGACCTTCTTTAATTTTAATATTAACAATGCGATTTTTCCTTGAATTTTCCTTTCATCAAATTTTATTTATTTTTTTATTATTTTTTTTTTTTGGGTCAACTTTTCATTTGGCTTTTGGCTATACAATAAAAGGGTTGTACATGTACATTATCCATTTAATGAAAAGAAGATACAAAGGGAAAGATCAAGGATAATTAAGATCGATATTCATGCTTCATACAAGAAATTTTTTACGCAATAGTTGTACATTACATCTCAAAACATGATTCAAATACATAAGTAATGTTCTTGCAAAGTGACAATGAAGTAGGTTAAATCTTTAGTACTATTTAGATGAAACCCTATTAAATTATATATTGGCAAAAATTCCCTTCTTGCTGATAAATCGCATGAGAAGTCAAAACCATTTCATACAAACCCGGGTGATCATAAATTAAATAGAAGTATCAAAATTCAAACTCACAGATGACAGGATCAACCCTTTCTCTATTGAGACTAATTACCTTGAATTGAGTAATAAATAACCAAAGTCAAATTGTAATATAGCATGCATAAATTTGAGGTTTTTGCTATTCATTCAAACCTCGCATTTGTGCGTGCAATTACTAGCAGAGAGATTCAAGTGGTCCATTATTTGAGAATAAAGGAAATTTTTCTTCATGATTATTATCTTGGCATGAATATATCTATTTTTTTTTTTTTTTTGGTTGGATTGAGGGCCCAATTATATTGTTCCAGACCAAATCTTTGTCATGGAAAAGGAGACGATGACCTTGGTCGGCTTATTTCCGGTCACGTTCACCATTCTTCACGAGGGAGGAGACCCCTGTGCTTAGGCACAGAAAAAAAAAAGATCGTTTTATAAGGTCATTTAGGGCAACAAAAATTGAACGTATCTTTTTTATGGTTGGGATAAATTTGGTCCTAGAATCCCAATATAGATCGGTATTGATCATACATTTTGCCCTATTCTTTTACACTTTCTAAAGCTAGGCAGACAAGACTTCCACATTAATTTGTGGATAAGTATCTTTTCCCACTTAAAAACCCTATATTAGAGTGATCTACTCCCTTCGTCCCAAAAAGAAAAGTAAATTTTAGTACCACAACAATAATTCTATTTTTGAGGAAGAAAGTATTATTAGGTTGTGGAGATAGTATGTGAATCAGTAATTTTCACACAAGAAAAAGGTCATTCTAACTTATCATGATAGTATCAGACTAGTCCATAATTATTTTACGTACGTACTGAGAAGAATTTTTCACAACAAAATTTTGCATTTATTGATTTATTTTTGTTTTCTATCTCTTGGAACAAAAAAAGTCTTGAAGGAATGATGATGCATTCATCCATAAGAAGTGAATTCCAAATTACCGTAAAGTGGCCTAAGAAATTAAGGCTGATGATCATAAAGGTCAACAAGAATTAGGCGCAACAGGCCGTCGGCAAGCCCTAAAAACCGGTCTTAATTTCTTAGCCGCTAAAATAATCACATTTTCAAGAACATTGGAATCACTTCTTTAATTTTGGTCCTACTAGCCACAAAGTTTTAAATTTGATTTCATCTCTATAACCCTTTTGATTTATTCCATAGCCACTCTATAAACAGTGTAAAGGGTTTGTGATGGGGTGATAAGGACTCTTCCACCCTTAATCATAGATCGAGAGTTCGAATCTTGTTATGGACATGGAATAACCTTAAATCCTTTGGCCAAACTCTCACACCCATTGAGGTACCATGTATAGAAGTCCATGGGGTTCCGCCTCAAAACCAATTGGCAATGAAGGGAGTAGCCCATATACTTATATATTGATATCAACTATCTCCCACCACCGATGTGGGATACTCAACACTCTCTAGCAAGCCCAACGTCTCTTCTTGGGTTGGGTTTGTCAGCCCAGTCACCGCCTCACGTCTCAGCCCTACCAGTTCTATCACATCAGGCTTGGAGTCCGACTCTTGGCGGGCTGACTCTGATACCATATAGAAGCACATGAGGTTCCACCTCAAAACCAATTGGCAATGAAGAGAGTAACCCATAGACTTATATATTGATATCAAGTCTCTCCCACCACCAATGTGGGATATTCAACACCATAAGCGAGGAAGATTAGTCACTGTTACCGACAGTAGGCACACCTTGCAATATGAAAAAAAAAATAATAATAATTAAGCATATTTCTTAAATGACTTTTTAGGTACTTGAAAACGAGCATGTATTTAACTAGTGAAATTTGAACCCGTACAGTTTTCGACTATTAGGTCGATTACATGAGTTTTCCATCGACCCTATATGTATATAAGATGATCAACGTCCAACCGTTTGAAACGAAAAGCAAATTCGTGATCCATCATCCATGATGCATAACTTTAGAATCAATTGATGCAAACGCAGTGCGTGGGTCAAGTTTGGTTATCTTTTTTTTCTTTTTCTTTTTTTTTGTTTATATTAGTTAGCAAGATATCTTCTCTTCCAAACATTTATATGATTCCCAAATATTGCAGGATGTGGGGTTTTAGAGAATTTGGATAAAGAAAAGATGGATTCTTCTCAATCCCAAAATCCAACCCTTTTCCCACAAATATGGTTAAGCTTGTTCAAAGCACCTTAGAAAATCAACCAATGTTTCCTTAGACTTGCCTTTGAGGGGTCCCTCAACCCTGCTCTTTCAAATCATAGTCTTACACATTGTCATTTTTTTCCCAAATTGAATGATTTTGTGAAGCCTAAGCTACCTCTAATTGTCTTAGCATATCAGGAATGTTCATTTTGTAAAAGAAAATTCCAATAATGACTAATCAGAAGTTGCAACTAATGTAAACTGAAATGTACACATCTTCTCTACTGTTTAAAGTTGAATATATTAGTGAAGTTGAATAGTAAGTATCAAACTCTCCATAAGCACAAAAATAAAGAACACACAAGAAAAAAAAAAAAAGAAAAAAAGAAAGAATCCTTACACTGTAGTCCAATAACTAGAAAGTGACTTGATTTGAAACAATATTTTCTCTTGATGAACAACTATATATACCCCCCAAACTCCCTCAAATTCATGCACACTTCTTAATTTCAAGTCCTTTTTTTTGGGGGTTTCTTCACACACACTTTATTAATTTAAAGTTTAACTAAATAAGAAATATGTCAGGAGTTTGGGTATTCAAGAATGGTGTCGTCCGGCTTGTTGAAAACTCCGGTGGCGATAGCCAAGGCGGCTCGAGTGGTGGTCGTCGCAAGGTCTTGGTCCATGTCCCTAGCGGTGAAATCATTGCATCCTATGGTGATCTTGAGAGGAAGTTAACAGCTTTAGGTTGGGAGAGATACTATGATGATCCTAACTTATTGCAATTCCATAAGAGATCCACAGTTCTTCTCATATCACTACCTAAGGATTTCAACAAGTTCAGGTCTATGCACATGTATGATGTTGTTATCAAGAATCGCAACGAATTCGAAGTTAGGGACATGTCTACTAATCTTAACTAATGGTTTATTCATGTCCCTTAATATAGTATATTTGATTCTATAAGTGTGAGAATGGTGTTTGTGGTTTTTTTTTCCCTTCTTTTTATTAGTTTGGTGTGAATGAGTGTCATTTCAGTTTTTAGTTTTGTAGGGTTTTCTCTGCTTGGGTATGGTAATGTAACAGTTTGATCAAATTTGACAATGTTTGGTGAGTGAATGTGATTGGCTTATTTGTGATATTATTTTGTGGATCAATAATGTGACAATTAAAGTTTGCTTTGCATATGTGGTTATATTGTAGATATAGCTGAATTGTAAAGGTAAAGCATGGTATAAAAGATTACTAACTGTTGTACATATTTTTAGAAAAAATGTTAGATTTCAATCATGATTTTTCATTTTCCGATCTTGAGATTACAATCCCTAAATCCAGAAATTAGTAGATTGCTTACAATTCATTTGAACTTTGAACAAAACATGTTTCCTTGTTTTGGGCAGGGGAAACAAATTACACTGAAAATCATTCGGTGTAAATAACTCCAAATAACTAATTAAAAAGTTAATATGGTCATTCCATACAGTTTTGACACCATTACAAGCCTTAGTACGTACACTGAGCAAATTAACAATGTGTAACTACATTTTTCGAGCTTCTAACTCTATATTCTCAAGAAAAGCTAAAATACTGACGATTAATTAGTGGCCAAAGAATTAATGTCCTCTAGTTGGAGCGGTAGAATTAAGCAAGATCATCTATCAAATTCTAATTGATTTGGGATTGATTAGTCTTGTTGTTGTATATATATTCACTAGGAATGGAATTAATAAAATGGAATGGGGAAATAAAGAACCCTACTTCACGAACAATAAAAGTCAAAAGAAAAAAGGGAAACAAAAGCCCCAAGAATAATTTTAATTGATACTAGTTCGAAACAAATTAATTACATAGCTACACATGGCCTTCATTTTTAGTGATTGAGACGCAATTATTTGGGGACGAATATGTATATGATCGATGCACAAATGGTGAATTTCCAGATGTCTCACAAATAAATTAGCATCTTTAGGTATTTTCTATGTGGACGACTGAGGAAGAGATGGCCATCAATTTCATACTCCCTCTCTCCCATAATTATTGTCCAATTTGAGTTCTTCGTTTCTAGTTCAAATTGTATTAAAAGTGAAATCTCAAACTGGACAATAATTTTGGGACAGAGGGTGTACAAAAATAGAAACTGTTTGCTGAAAGGAAAACGAGTAGTTTTTCCGATTGAACATTTCGTGCACCAACCGTCTGCAACCTGGCCTTTGCGTATGAAGAATTTCTTCTTCTTCTTTTTCTGAAATGGCCAACGAAGCATTTTGTTTGGTCTATTATATTATTCTCTCCGTCCCATTTAATTTTTTATTTTTATTTTGTTAAATTATAATCAACAAAGTGAATCCTTCATCATGCATGATTTTTAACTCACGATCCTCGTGCGATTTAATCAAGGCCAGTCAAATTTACTTCATCGATTTATATTCCCCTACTTTACCTTCTTAACATGTACAGCATGCTTTGAACAAATCTATATTGTCGTGTGTAAAATACCAGAGGTTTGTGCATAAAAGTTTGAAGTTTTAGTTTCGCGACGATGAAATACATTTGATAATTAATGATAAGACGTTTCTTTTAGTTCCTATACAAGATTTTACGTTTATGCGAAATTACTTTTACTAAACCTAAATAAATACACATTACGGTTAAAATTGATCTCCAGTACTCAATCAAAGTGCATCTTTTTAGAGGCCCAAGGTTTCCGAAGAGTTATTTATCTTTTTTTAGATTCAAATTTGAAACCTATTTGAGAAAGGAAAAATTCCTTTACCTTGCTTGACCGACAAGGCGACAACTATATATAGATCTATGTTCTTGGGTTAATCTTAATCTAGCTTGTGAAATGCGTCAATAAAAGGAACAAGTTATTTAACATGCATGGTACTATAGTTTTATTTTAAAGAAGTATTGTTGCATTCCAAAATAAACTTATCATTTCAAATGGACGAGAATTTTACGTATAAAAAATATACAATAGTGCTGGGATCCATCGATCGGAATGTTAAAAGAAAATGTGTTATTCATGCATTTGATCTTTCCAGCTAGCCATGAATATTTTCTACAAGAAGTATGGAACGATCAGCAGCATTAATTCAGCAGCCATATTGGAAGAATCCAATCAACATGTGCTTCAAAAGTTGTAGGAAAAGTGTCTCTCTTCCATTTTGCCCTGAAACTGATCATAAAAGGGTCATTCAAGTTTAAGCCATTTTGACCTTTGTAATATATAGTCTATCTATTGTGGATAAGAAGCTTATCAACACGTGTCTTTTACTAGCTAAAAGAACACAAAAGAAATGATATGAATTTGCCCAAATTTTTTATCCAAAGTGTAAGAGTGAAGCTATTAATATCCTTCATATATATATTCTTGTCAGCCTCTCCAACAAGCCGCCCACTCCTCCTTTGGGAATGGGCTACTATGACATCTTTCTTCTTCTTTCCCTTTCTCTCTCAGAATCCATGTCTTTGATCAATATGCATCAAAATAGAAAAAGAAATGCCATTCATTAAACTTTTATCTTACTTTCTTATGTATCAGTTTTCCAACTAGCAACCAATGTTAGCCTTTCTCTTTTCGACCTTCAGAGTCTTTTAGAAAAAATCTATTCAGACAGGATCTGATTCATAATTTTAAGGGTTTTTAACACTGGTTAAAAGATTGACAGATTTTGATTATACATGTAATCACGCCAATCAATTTGACCACTATCAAAACGATGATATTTATTTAATGCTCGTAAATGTCGAATAACTGTTCTTATTGCATTATGTGATTTTGAGACATGTTAATACGTCCAAAAGTGACACACAGGAAAGTTGAGAATCCTATCAAAAGAAATGCTGATATGTGTAGTGGGATCTAGAACAAAGAGTAAGAAGAAGTTCTCTTCTTTTATCTTCCCATGCATGAACCCTATCCACGAAGAATGGGGCATGAGATCATCTTCGTTTGTCTTCCTTTGAGTTTGATTTTGACAGCCAAAGATCCTTTGTCATTTATTGTCCAACTATTCTATTCAGAATAACATCATGTATGTGTGCCAAATTCTAACATTCCGTTGTAATTTCCGTTTAAATGGTAAAAGAATTTAGGATTTAAGGAAACTTCATACACAAATGCATACAAAAAAGCATGAGTAATATTCTAACTAATTAAGCCAAACCCGACTTTTTTCAGAACCCTAACAGAAGTTTCCCACTCGATTCATTAACTTAATCAAATCTAGAACGGAACTTGTTGAAGTTTCAAACACGAAAGTAGACTTTTGTAAATACTTTCAATAATCGAACCTTAAATAATGTGCAAAATGTACCAAACTCTCTCCAAAAGTTTGACAATTAAAGACAGTATACTTATATGTCGGCGGGAAACTGTTGTTTAATCATCCAATTGCTATCATTTTGCCCTAGAAAGTCCATGTTTAACGAACTATTGACACATCTTCCACCATGCTTCGTTAAAATATTGAGCTCAATCGAATTTTTCGTACCATTTGCACACAAATGAAGGATCAGAAACAACTATTTAAAATTACAGGTACAAACTTTTGTAACTCACTTTAGCTGACAACAGTTTGGTACAATATTAATAATGTGTCTACTCATTCTCACATGTTATGCACTTCTTTTGTAGTTCGCACTTCACACCGATGATTACATTGTCCTATTTAACTTTCTCTGAAGTTTCAACTTGCCCCATATCCATATTTTGTGGACCTCAAACCACATATAGGGCTAAATTAAGATGGTGGATGGTTATTATCAGGAGGTCAATGGTTCGATTCCCGTTAGGGTCATCCAATTTTTTAAAAAAAAAATAAATAACAGAATGTAAGTATTATTGTTAAGGGATAATCAACCAATTGTTTAAGCCTTTAGCTATGTTCAAAGTAGATGAACAAGGTGTGAAAAGCTAACTTGTGCTGACCCCTTTAGTTTATACTCCTTTAGCCATATTATATAGTTTGCATAGTACTTAATTGAAATAAATATGAATATATCCTTCCAGCTACCAAGATTGATGCCTATATAAACCCCTTTGATCCTCCTTCCTTGAGCCCATATCAAAACCAAATATATACATAGCCAACTTATCACATCTTCTTCAACACCTTTACCATTTATCACCATCATCATCATTGTCTCTTCCCATAATTCTCAAATCTTTGCAGCAATGTCTGGTGTTTGGGTTTTTAAGAACGGAGTTGTTCGTTTGGTGGAGAACCCTGGTGAATATCAGGGCTCGAACGCCCGCCGGAAAGTCTTAGTTCATGTTTCAAGTGATGAAGTCATCACATCTTATTCTGTTCTTGAGAGTAAGTTGACAGCTTTAGGGTGGGAGAGATACTATGAAGATCCTGACTTGCTTCAGTTTCATAAGAGATCCACCGTTCATCTCATCTCCCTTCCAAAGGACTTCAACAGATTCAAATCCATGCATATGTATGATATTGTGGTCAAGAATCGAAATGAATTTGAAGTTAGAGATATGTAATGTGTGAGGTTAATGATGAATACTTAGGTTTGTAAGTTTGATTTGGTTAAGGTTATATATATGTCTAGGTTGTACTTTGATTCTCTTGTATAATATGTTGACTTTGGTGTTTGGTTTTGTTGATTGTCAGTGGTCTGTATTCAAGTTGTACCTATATTAGCTCATTTTGTCAAGAAAATGGTGTATGGGCTTTGTATTAATTTCATTGGATAATGGTTGTCTGATTTGTGTATTTTGTAACATTGGAATGATTTAATTTCAAGGATTTCTTGTTTTAATCAGCTTGTCTCCTTTAATTTTCAGCTTTAAGTATTTCCAATCATTGCTAATATCTATTATCTTTTTCTTAAGATTATTATGACAGTTAATCGGTTTCAAATGAATCATACACCCCGATAGAGATCCCTAAGATGATGAATAATAATTCTTGTATATTGAAATGCTTGTCCACCTTGAACTTTCGTTTTTAATATATAAAAATTTAAAGTGAACAATCATTTCAGAATATACAAAATATATAATTTGAGTGTAACATATGTCCACTCACAGTTCAATGCAATATGAATACATGAAATTAAAGGCATTTCAAAAAGCTTTACAAACACGAAAGATAATTAACATTGTTCTTAAACTATTGATAACAATGATAAGTGAGTGATCAACTATCATTCATCCGAATCAAAGCAGTAGAATTCGCACTAGCTATAGCCTTTTAATTGTTCTTTTGGTCTCTAATGTGATGGTCAATTAATCAGTTTTTTTTCTTATTCTTTCTAACAAATTGAGGTTAGTGTGGAATAAAAATTATTAGGTGCAAAGTTTACCACAAACTTTCAAATGATTCTTCCATCCCATTTAGCTCTTGTAGTGTAACATCGTTTTCTGTCAATTTTTTTTTTTTAAGCTTTGAAACTGTGGTCCATTGTTAACGGCACTTTGGATTTCATTGATGGTTTTGAGTTGTAATGTCTGGTTACTAGATCACAAGAAAAATTCACATTAACTGAATTATCGATTTGACAGAATCATAAGGTTTTTAATTTTGGGTTTTGATGATTTATATTATATTTTTCAATTGGTAGATAATTAGTAAAAGTGCAAAAATGAATATCCTTGATGCATAGAAACAAAAAGAAAAACTTGGAAAAAATGAATAATTCTATACATCATTCATGACGGTGCGTACCACCCATGCATTAATTAGCAAATTCTTTGAGGTGGCATCGTCCCAAATTTTATTCTTCGTGAAAGATCTTTACATACGATTCCTCCTATTGCTTGCATATATTTACTTCATTTCTTTAATCGATTTGGAGCAATAACGCATCGACCCACAAACATTTAATTAATCTTCGACTATTAGTTGGAGCATATGCCTTGGATGAATCCAATTAAACATATACTAATAAAATTATTATAGAATGATTAAAAATGCATTCGAATTGTGGTGCCGATGATTTTTTCTTTATGGAGTTGTGTACGCTAATACGAAGATATATTAATTAATAGTGATTAAATTGGCATATTGCCACTTAAAAAGGGTAAAATTTTTGTCACTAATTATTCACTTTTTTGATAAAATTAAAAGGTACTAATGGAGTAAAAAAGAAGGTAGAATATTACCACCGATGAAGACAAAATTTATATAGATGTAGTAAGTATATAAATAATAGTATCTAGAAAAATGAAAAAACAACTTGGCTTAATTGGCTTCATGCATGCATGGTGTGTGTGTGTGTGTGTCCCATGCAGATAGATTCTTCATTCGTTTCCCTTTAATTTTCACACAGTGGACGGTGAACTCGATTCTTAATTCTTTCTTAAATTAATTCCCCATGTATATAAACTCCTAGTGCTTTTCCAGCGCCCACCATAATTTCTTGTGATTACGAAAGAAAGTCATTCTTTTCTAGGCTTTGGTTAGGAAAAGTGGGGTTTTTTATTTTATTTTTATTTCATTTTTCTGTTTCCAACTTTCGATAAGTTCGGCAAACCACGACTTCTAATGCCCCTCTTCTCATTAACCTATTAGCTTCTTTTAGGACCTTCTCCTTGATATATTTTCTCGACCAAATCCCATCATGGGATTCCAAAGTTTTACTTGTATGAGGAGATAATTTTAGAGCAAAAATATGATTTTGAAATTGGTTAATTGTTGAAACTGGTTGATTACAAATATGAGAATGAATATTAATATAAATTTGCATAGGTTTCAAGTTATAGAAAAAAAAAAAAAACTTACCTCACCATGGCAAATAAAAAAAAAAGTAAGTAAAAGAGCCTATTAAAAATTGAGAAATTATTTTTTTCCTGTACGTAAAAATGATGTATAAAAACAAAAATAAACGTAGAAACATCATTCTTTCCCTCTCCACCTCAAATTCATATAAGGTTTCCCCATAAATTAGTTAGAAGAAGCGACCTGAACTATTTATATGATGAGGAACTCAAAAAAATCCAAAAACCAAATCCAAAAAATTATATTCTTGAAAACCCGAACACAAAAAAAAACGCGCTTCATTTGCAAATAATAATAATAATAATAATTGGTCAACTGGGAGTATGAAACAAAATCAGAAGCAATTAAACAAAGAAAAAACACAATTCATAACTGACCATATACGGAAAAAAAAAAAAACCAAGACTCCATAATAAAAAAAAAAACCACACTAATTGAATGAAACATAAAAAAGAAATTAATAAAACCACACTTTGTAACAAAAACTCAATTGATCAATTCAATCCAAACAGAACTAAAATCATACAAAAATTCTAGGCTAACTAACCATATAAGAAATCACATCATATTACCTGGCAACGGCTACGGTAGTTGTAACGGGTGGACGCATAAAAATAATAATAATAACACTATTATTGAACGAAAAAAACAAAAAATAATAAAAAAGTCGTACAAATGATCTATGGATATAAAATCATTTAAATTTTAATATCTGTAATGGCACCACCACAACGGCCGAAGCAAGATCAATAAGAAATTATTATTTTTTCCTTTGTGTTTATATAGAGAGGTAAAGAGAATATTTTTTAAAATCAAAATTTTAGCCGATTAGGATGTAGTTGATCATCACTAATGAAAAGATTGAACATGCTAATAGGAAAGGAGTATATTTCACCACATATTCTCAATTGATGATTGATGAGAAATTTTTTTTTTTTCTTTTTTTGTGGAGAAGGGATTGATTAGGGAGTCGATTGTCATGGAGATGGGGATGATGATTTGGGTTTTTTTTTTTTGTTTTGGCGAAAATAGGAGGTGGTAGTCGATTTGGACTGCATTTGCCTTTTAAGTCTAGGAAACTAATGTGTAAATAAAAAATTATTTTAAAAATATGATGTGAAAATACCGCATGAAAAATATTTTTTTTTATTTTGGCGAAAATAGGAGGTGGTGGTAGATGTGGACTGCATTTGCCTTTTAAGTGTAGGAAACTGATGTGTAAATAAAAATTTAATTTAAAAATATGATGTGGAAATGTCACATGGTAAATGGTGGTGCTTTCTCTTTTAAGTGTGGTTTTTGTTTCTAATATAGTAATATATATATATATATATATATATATATATATTCGTGCAAAGTGAAACTAGACATGTTTCCCTTACAGGCCCAACGCCTTCATCTCCAAATTTTTCTTTGGATATAATTCCATAAAGGCCCAACCTAAAAAAGAGTCAACGACTGAAATTTGAAAATTGACTTCTTCCCCATGCAAGCCCCTTCATTCAGGAAAAAATAATATAAAATGAATTTTATTTTATTTTATTTTTTTGGTAAGATAAAAATGAAATATTCCATCATCATTCCCACCACCATTCATTCCATCATCATTACCGTTTCTGCTTTCTGGTCCATGCCAACAACATTCTGATTGCACCATACGTGTTCTTCATGTCATGAAAGCCCACCGTCAATTCTTATTGCTCAAGAAAAATAGTTCACTGATCAAACAAAATAAATTAAACTCACCGTATATATTCTTATCAATGATGGTAAAAATCATCGTTTTTGTCCTAGAAGGGCATTTATCTTATCAATGATTGAAATATTTGGTCTCTCTAAAACAATATAACAAAGTACATTATTTTTTTGAGACAAAAGGAGTAGTAAATAAATTACTAAATTTAAAGGAAATTAGAATCTAATTAAGTCTAATTAAGCAAAAGATCGATCCATGGAAACAAAACTCAAAGAAAGTCTTGACACGAGGATCGTTTGCTTGACTTTCTCATTTCTGGAAGTAATTTTTTTTTATCAACTGAATTAATTTTTGTTACATTATCAATTAAACTGAATTTAAAATTTTCATCTCTTTGGATTCAAAAAGAAAATCCCCCTGATTTGCTTTTTCCTTGTGCAAAAAGAAAAAGATCCCCAGTTTGAATTACTTCAGTAGTTCCCAAGACACTGACGCATTGAATAAGTTCCTCCACACCTAATCTAATGTTCCAAAAGAACCGAAACCAGAGCCAATGCAGCACCCGATCGACAATCAGCAAACCCCCCAAATCCCTAAAAACAGCCCGCTGTCAAGAAAACAGCTAGCTGCGAAAACAGAAATCACTAAGTTTGTTGTGATCCTCTGAAATATCCTAGTCCATCCTCCACCCTTAATCTTTCCTTTTAACACGTGCAAGAAACAGAAGGTATCGAATGGAATGTAAAAGGGGGAATAACATAAACTGCTCTCTTGGTCCCACAAAAATATAGTCCACATTGAGTTTTGATTTTTTAAATTGTTTTTAATATAAATTTGAATACTCGATGTAGACTATTTGTTTGGGACAGGAGGTAGTAATTGGGGGTGTAAAGTGGCAAGGCTCAAATTTGAAGATCACATTGTTCAGAGTGAATCACATCTAAATTCGAGAGTCGCCGGTTTCCCTATCGGAAGTATTTTTTTTATCCATGAAAATTGGAGTACATTAGGTCTAAATAATTCAGTTTTCATCAAGTGAATTGTTCTAACCCATACACAAGTTGCATGGAAGTACTTTTATCATTGGAAGCAAAAATCAAAGTTCATTTCTTTTTGGTCAAACAACATCATTAAACTTTGATGGAGAGAGTAAAAATGAAAATAATTTTGAGCGTAAAAAAACACGGATTCCAATCAAAATTTGATTTTGATGATAGATTGTATAATTTCTGAATTCTTACTCCCACAAGAGGTGTCAAAACAAAAACTACACCGGAATTCGATAAATGTGCATAAACTCCGTCATCTTGTCTCCCATCTTTAATTAATCCACGAGATTACAATATGCTACTCTCCACCTCAATAGATTATTAAATGATATGAAGGAATTAGAATTCATTTATTCTTGACATTTAAACCATGTTACAATCATCAGAGCCAACTTGAAATTCTCAATAAAATGTACATCCGCTGTGCAATTTTTTTTTTTTAGATTTCGGTGCCATTACTTACATTTTCGGCATCACTTTTTGTTCTCAAAAAGAAAAAAAAAAAAAAAACCTTCCTCTGTCTCAAAATTATTGTCGAATTTAAATTTTCATTTTTAGTTCAATTTGCGTATCTAAAATCTAGGGACAAAAGGAATATTAATTTTTAATACTGTAATAAAGGCAAAATCGAAAAGCAGCGGGGGATTGATAAAACGAAATATGTTCTGTTTGAAATGGGTTTTTAAGAACGTTTTCTTGTTCAAATTGTAAAAGTGGACCGAACACACACCTTCCGACCTTTCAGAACAAAAACAAAACAACACAACACATAATAATAAATAAATAAAAGTTGGACTACCATCTAGGCCATTATATATTCCATAACCAACAAAAAAAAAAAAAATGTAAAGTTAGGAGAACAAAATTTAAATTTTGAACGAGAGAACTTTGGAGGAACTATGTAATGTTTCAAGAAAATCAGGTTGAGACGTTCTCACTATGTAATAGCCAATATATATCTTTAGGTGTATGATCTGGCTCCAAAAAAGATCGAGGAATTATGGTTAAACAAAGCTTCCTTTTTTAAAAAACTCATTTACAAGTTGAATGATGTAACTTAATATTACTACATATCAAACAATTTTGCATAATATCACACGTAGGAAAAAGTATAAACGCTCGAAAACCAAGACTCCATGCATGTCTCTTCAAGAGGGAGCCGAGCTTTTATATTTTTTCCTACGTACAATATTATGCAAAATTGTTTGATATATGGAAATTAAATTAAGGTCGACTATTCAACTTTAAATGGTTTTTTTGAAAAAAAGAAAAAGAAGCTTTGTTTAACCACAATTCCTCGATCGTCCCTTCAAGGACATCCGATAATTCCTCGATCTTTCAATTAAAAAGTACATGTGTGGATTGGAATGCGGATGCATCTGAGTATGAATGTTGTTGAATTCGGAATTCATCCATCTGAAAAAATAAAATAAAAAATAAATAAGAGATTTCCCTCGAGATGCGAGTCATAATGACACATTTGGGTGTATTATTAAAACAAACTAGTATACCTTACCTTTTAAACCCAAAAAAAAATGAAAATAAAGAAACGCATGTTTCCTATGTATAAAACTTATTGTCTAATTTAAATTTTAATTTTTATTAAAAAATTAAAATCAAAAAATTTAAATTAAATAATAATTTCGGACCAAAAATAGTACATTAATTATGCAATATGCATATTTGTGTATGCATTATTAGGCCAATTTGACTACTATGCTGAAACCACGTTTTATTGATGATCCCAATATAAGCCCACACACCAGTATCAATTTAACCATTAGCAATAAATATTTTGTAAAAACCACAGTAACAAGTACGACAATTGGATAAGATTATAGTAAAAAAATAAAAAAGTTGGTGGTGTCCAATCATTATTACCTGGGGAACGTTGAAATGTTCTGTCTTAGGAATTTCCTATATTTTTGTTACTAAGTAGTAATAGTATTAAAATTAGACGGATTAAAATAGAGGTTTTAGTTTTCACTTTCTACCCCGAACTACACACACTCACACAGTAAACACTAAAACCTCCCAAAAACCTCCACTGCCTTCCCAATTTCGCCGGAGTTCCTCCTCCGTCCTCTCGTGTTCTTCTTTTGGGTAAGAGATATTATCTTCTTTGTGGGTTCTTTTGTACTTTGTTTTTTAGATCCATGGTGAGGACGTGGGTTTTGCAAAAATCTCTGCATTTTTTTGTTGGAGTTTTGAGTTGGGTGTTGTTAAAAGGGATTTGTTGTACGAATCGATTATGCTTTGCAGATTTTCGTTTTGCCCTTTTGTTTTTTAGGGTGTGGATTCTCTTTTTGTCTCGCATGAATTCCTTGCCTTCATATTGATTTAATTTTTCTACGTCTTTGCCTTCATATTGATTTAATTTTTCTACGGCTTCACCATTGAAGGGGAAGGAACTTCAAGGATGGAGATCACAGAAGAGGAAAAGATATCACCATCGAAGGGCCGCTCCACGCAAGCATCAGAAATCTCCGGAGAAAAAAGTTCTACTTCTGACTCATCATCAACAGATTCGGAAACAGCTTCGGAGCAGGAGTTCATAATTAATGTTGGAGAAGCTCTTCAACCGAACAATACCAAGGGATTCTTCAAATCCCTCTTTGGCTTCCTCGGTCAATTTGGTGGAGGTTCTCCTTCCTTTGATCCCTTTCTTTCTGTGCTTTACTTTGTGAGAATGTTGCTTCCAGAGTATTGCAGTACATGCACCATCCCTGTTGTTGTGAGCAATATTCCTGTAGGGTTTCCTCTGTCAGTCTCAAATCTTCCTGGAAACTCATGTCATAAAAATGTAAAACTGTCAATCTTCCTGTAGTATTGGCCTCTCGGGGTGTCTTCCGACGGGTTCTGACTAAACTATAAAACTGTCAAGAATCACAACCCTTTGTTTTTGGGGAAAATTTATGATGTCAATGGTGTCTTGACCTATTAGTATTATTCCTTTACCAGATGCTCCTAATAGCAATGTTCTTTCTGTAAATGTCGATTTCTTCAGTTAGTCTTGTTATAAGAGCTTTTGCTGCATAATGTTTGCCATAGCTGTCGCTTAATGACGCTGTCATATTCATTGCAGGTGCACAGTGACTGTTCTACTGACTGAGGTCTTTTTGGGATAAGTTTCTGCTGACCATGTGAGCTTGATCTGATTGTAGGCTATTTTGCTGCTTTTCTGGGAAGGCCAAACATGATATAAACTATTGATCAAATTATGTTTAGCTGAACTATGGATTCTGCGGTTTTGTCCATTCGCACTGATTACTGCAAAAAACAGAGACATGTATTCCTGTTCACTGCTGTTTGGCAGGTTCAATGTTTTGCGGGTTCTATGTAAATAGTTTTATACCTTCAGCATAATATTCTTAGATTTATATCCAACGTATGTTTTTCCCTGTCAACAATGTGATCCAAAAACTTTTTTGCATAGTTGCCACCTTAGCCCTGAATGTGTCAGATTCCGGTGGCGGAATCGACGGAAATGGGGAATCTCCGGTGAATCGGAGGTGGTAGGCGACGGTTAGGGTTGAAAACCCGAATGAAATTGGGAAAGAATCAACAATTTTGAAAATACTAATTCAACAATATTCGATACTGATCTTTGACCCCGGATCTCTATTTATATTTCCATAGATACCGGGTTTTACAATCAAGTCCCTGAACTATTGATTTAGATCAATTTAGTCCGGGATCGGGACAGAATGTTCACAAATTCAACACAATTTTACTCCGAATGCTCCTCCTAGTTTAACAATTCATTTTTTTTTTCGGGTAAATGATAATGTACTGAAACTTGATGACTATGTAGGTGACAAATAAGTCCTCTAGCTAACTGTGAGCATTTTAATTTTGATTTTTGACAACCTATCCATCCACCTTTTCAAACTCGTAAAAAGAAAAACTTCCTTTGATCATTTCGGGATTCTTCTCCTAAATGTTGAAAATAGATTGCTGAAATGCTTGCTACCTTCCAATCTATTTTTATTTTTTTAATTATTATTATTATTATTATTTTTTTGTGGGGCTCTCGAACTTGAAGCTAATACCTGCCTGTTGACATTATTGAGCAAACAACATAAACAGCCTGATAGTCACCAAAAAGTGGACCTGTACCTCACTCATCACAAGCAAGATTAACGATTACATCACTGAACTTTTCCAGTTCTAGAAACAGAAAAACCGATGGTACAACAATAATAATAACTTAATGGTACAACAACAATAACATTGGTCCAAAATGCTAAACTGCTCCCTAAAACAAGATCAGGTACAAGCTCACATCCGCAACCAATGCAAAGAAAACAGTTTAACCATTGATCTCATCCATGAAGAGCTGACGAATGCTCATGAGGCTTTTAGTGAGAACTTTGCAACGATGTTCAGTCGACCTATACAACTCTGGAGGTGTTCCTTTGTGTTTAACAAGAGTATGATGGTCAAGTCGATAGAGGTATAGGCCTTCTTTGGCACAATCCAACCATATTTGTCCGTCCTGAATGTGAACAACCTTTACGTTATAGAGGGGATAGCCTTTTAGTGTATGATCTGGCTCCAAGAAAGTTGCAGGAACTATGTTCAGAAGAAGCTTCCACTTTCTAACCCATTCCCATTTTGAATGGTCCTCTAATATCCATATATCGATCAATTTTTCCCAATACAGCACATTGGAAAAGTATAAATGCTCAGCTCCCACTAAAAGAGACATGTATTCATGTTCACTTCTGTCTCCGCAGCGGCCGCCAGGATGAGGCATCACGTGAAATTCTTCTTTAATCACATCAAAAACCAAGACTCCACAAGTACATGGAGGTCTCTCATTGTAGTTACGGTAATTCCAGTCAGCAATCCAATACAGAGCTCCATTATAGACTGCGGGTGAATTAAGAGTAGGCCGATAGTGAAAAGAAGGCGGTTTTATACATCTCCAAACAGGGCTTCCAAAAGTGTACACATAATAGTTTATGCACCCACCAACAGATCCTCTGAAAAGAATTTGGAATTTCTTTGCCACTGGATGGTAAAAGAAGCCACATACGAAACCCCACAAAGGACAAGTTATCGAAACTTTCTCTTGTGTGAGAGGATTGAAAACATACCAATATATTTCTCCGGGACAGTGCGTAATCAACATCAGTCCACAACAAGAATCAAAGAAACGAGTAAACATGTTACTCACTAAAAGTCCTGGACAGAGCCGCAATTTATTCACTTTTTTCTTTTTGATTGTAGGATCATAAAAGAAAAAACCAAACTCTTCTTTTCCTCTCCTAATGTTATAGAAGCTATGCACAAATATGGATGGGGCGGTAGCTCTACTGAGATGCAAATCAATGAAATACTGCGAGGATGCCAATGATCTCCACCTTTTACAAACCCTTCGGCACTCTACAACGCGTTCAGCAGGGAGTCTACTTAGTATGTCTACAATTACATCATCAGGGAGTTGCTTAACTTCAACTCTTCTATCGAAAAACGGAGACAGGCCAATCAGATGTGCAATCCATTCGAAACATTGGAAAGCCATATCCCAAGAGGTCAAGTAGGATTATTTGCCGTCGACTGTTATTCTTTTACACATGCACGAAAATTCAACGATTCAGGCTTCAATATTACGGCGACTATCAAAGTAGCAATGCTAAAATTTTAAGTAAAGTAAAATTCTCAGCAACTCGGAGAATAAAGAAGAGGAACAGCAGAAAAACAAGTTATTGCGAATGCAGAGTTCAACAATATCTTTACACATCAATAAAAAGATTAGATGGACAGAGAAACAGCAGCCAAGTTTATTTTTTTTAAAGAAAAGAACAAGTAAATGATATGGCTTCTATAAAGAGCACGTCTATTCTAACTTTCTAAGACTAGGGATACCTAATAAGCAATCAATTTAGCCTGCCTGGGTTGAGAGAGCTATCAATAAATTTCTGCTACATGTATGTGTAAAAAATCTCTCTAATCAGCTCCAACAATGTGTCATTTTTATCAGTGATTCCGTCCCAAAATAAGGGTCATGTTCGATAACCAACGGACTCCTTTTTTTTCGTAACAGAGGGAGTATAATTGCTTCAAAAGTAGTATAACCTTGAGAAGGGTATGGTGAAAGGAAACAATCTGTTTTCCCTCAAAATTTTCCTAAGTTCTGATCAAGTAATGAAAGCCTTTAGTTCAGAATTATAGTTACAATCAATATCCAAAATTGAAAGTGGACACAAACATAGAGTATGCATAATTGTTACCAAACATTCAAACCAATTCTCACTCACAGCAACTCAGTTCTATGTTTTTCCAATCCAATTCAATCATCAATCCAAATCATCAACAATCAATGGCTAAAAAATCAAAGGGAAGCTAGATTTGATATGGTAGAATGCAATCCTAACTCACAGCAATTCAGTTCAAGTTTATCAAAATCCAATTCAATCATCTATCCAAATCATCAACAATCAATGACTAAAAAATTTAGAGGGAAGCTAGATTTCAAATGGTAGAATGCAAACCTGGCCAGAATATTCTTCTTCAGGGACTGAAAAGGTTGAAAATTGTGCCGCCGGAGCTGTGGTCGGAGGCAGGGCAGGAGCCTCCCGGAATGTTTTAACGGGTTCTGAGTAAACTGTAAAGCTGTTATGAATCCCTAACCGTTTTTACTTTTACTTTATATATAGGGAGAACTGAGAAGCGGATTAGTAGACGATTTTGGATACGAATGTTATTCCTTATTAGGAATATGACCCAAAAGTTTGAAACCTTGCAACATTAGCCCCGAATGTTTACAAAAGCATCATATTTTGTCGTAATTGTAAACATATTTTCGACATTATTTTTGAACATGTGAAAAGAAAAACTACTATGATCACTTTGATATTTTTTTCTTTTTTTTAAAAAAAAAAATCCACCCCAATGGACCCCACTTAAAATGTGGGTTAAACCCTCTATTGGGAATCGAACCCTGGTCTATTACCAAAAAAGACAACAACATAACTACTAAACTATAATTCAATTCCCGATCACTTTAAAATCTTCTCCTAAATGTTGCAAAGAGAAATGCCATTACCATCGGGAGGGATACAAAACTTGCTGCTAGAGACTCTTATGCCCCCAAAAATCGAAGAAAGCTGATTGAAAAGACTGATATATATGATAAGGCAAGAGCGAATTGTATATATATCACTAGACTATACCAAAGCAAGTTTTATTATTGTTGCAATGATTTAATTTCGAGCAAGGTCACTGAAGTAATGAACAGTCATCAAACGAGATGGCTTTGTAAACATTTTTCATTAAAACGAAAAGTTTCCGTTAAATCAAAAGGTAGATGTCCGATAGGTAACGAATTAATATAAATTACTCTTCTTCATTAATCTTGTTAGTGAAAAAAAAAATCCATAACTATTATCTTCTCCAGATTTCCGGCACCTCTCCAACACTCCCAAATCAGATATTACTTCCCAAAAAAAAAAAAAAGCATACCCACACACACAGTTATGCATTACGGATGATAGAGATATTTTGTAATTGGTGATTGCGAACATTTATTCTTTTCTTGAGGAGAATAATTGATTTGAGTACATAAACTTTATTGAATAAATAATATAAAATGTTCCATAATAATTTTGTGTATATATATATATATATATATATATATATATATATATATCTAACTATATACTAAGGGGGAATCCCAGATTTTGGCTCCGTTTCTTATGGGTTCTCGGTCATTTGTGGATACGTTGCACCGGTCAATTAGACCTCCTGTATTAGACACATTGTGCATGAGTTTTCTAATTCTTCACTTTCCCGTTGCAGGTCCACTTTCTTCTCTATGCTCGCTTCTCTATTTTGCCCCACTTGATTCTTTCACCGGAGCTCTTTCCCGTCCAAGTTCCAATACGATTTTGGTCGTTCATTTTTTTTTCCCCTCCTTTCGCACAAAGCTGTTCTTTTTCGTTGCCAGTGTTCCTTTTTCTTTCTGCTCACTTTCTATTTCCCAATCTTTCTTTGTCTCTTTCTTTGTTATGGTATTTTGCTTTTCTTCTTCCGTTTCGTTCGATTAGTAATCAGAGGTTATTTTTGTTTTTCTTCCTTCTAACTTACTGGTTTAGGTCTTCTTCTTGCGGGGAATTGAATCTATTGCAGTAAGATTAGATTAATTTTCAACTTTTTGGATCAATTTCTTTGTTCTTCGTTCGATTGGGTCTGACCCCTAATTAATATAAATGTATTCTTTCGTTTCGTTAGTTGGCAATTAGAAGTTTTCTTGTTCTAATTAGCGTAAGTTACAATATGTCTGTGGTCTTTGCGATCAATTTCTTGGTTCTCCAGTTAATATAAAAATATTCTTTGCGATCAGTCTCTGGTAAGTGCTAATGTTTGCAAGTGTGTAAGTTCTACGGTGGTGCATAGAAAAATTAAGGCGGAATTTTTTTGTTCGCAGCATCTAAGTTCCTGTCAAAAAAGGATTATAATGGGAAGGTATGTACCATAAATAAGGGAACTGATTCTAAGTAATTTTCTTTGTTCTTAAACTATATCTCCATTTTCAGATTCAGCAGATGTTTGGTCATGTAGCGTAACATTATATGTGATGTTGGAAGGATCGTATCCCTTTAAGGAACCTGATAATTTAGAAAGTGACTTGAAATCTGAAATTGACAGTAGCCGAAATTTTTTTGTATGAATTTGAGGTCACACTACTTTAGGAAAATAACTTCTGTCAAGTGATTGTCTTGTTGATATTTGCAGAATGTTGTATTCAATTCTACGTTCTTGATATTAAATTGCTTTTACTTTTATATAAATTGTAACAAGCACATCAATCGCCTACATAATGAAAATCTATTAAATCTATCAATTATTCAACTTTATTATTGATTATACCGTTCAATGAACTACCTATTTAAAGACTTCTCTCAAGGGTAAAGAACATACCAATTCAACAAGAATACCAATACTAAAACCTTCACGTTCCACGGGTCAGACCGCACCTTGTGCGGTCCCAACCCCTAGTGTGTGTGTGTGTGTGTATATATATATATATATATATATATATATATATATAGCTTCCTCATTTTGGCTATATTTTGCTTAAGTCCACGAAATGCATGTTTGTCCTGTAAGTAATCAATTACGCAGTGAACTCAACAGAGATTGATATTTACCAAGAACTATTTGCTTTTTATGAATAATATATATACAAAGGGATTATTAGAGTTATTTCTTGCACCGAATTAAACAGCTACTAGCAGAAGGAGAAGAATGATTACTAGCCACACAATTGTCTAGCCTCTATCGGTATCCACACGAATGATTTCTGGGACAAACACAAGTTGAAGAAGACTAGCTCTCTTGCACTGCTGACTTTTCACATTAGTCACCATAGGGACGCAAAATCTCAAACACATTGACAATAAATATAAACTATAACCTTTTAATTTGATTGGCTTTAAGACATAAACCAACATGTCCTTTCCTTGATTTAGACAAAGAGACAAAGACTCCGATCAAAATTGGAAATCTCACTTTTATATTTGTTTTTGGTCATCGATTTAGACACTGAGCTATCGATCCCGATGTTCAAGTTAATTTTTTGTTTATTTATGTTCGTCGACTTTGTTATTTAAAGATCGAGCTATCAATCCATTGTTAAGAAACCATCCTACTCCTTCAAAATAACAAGAAACGCTCATTGTTTAAGAAAACTATCTATTGATAATATTTCAAGAAAAATCATAGAGGTTACAACTCAATTTATTCGACTCATCTACTCTATTGATTGAGAGAATCGGTCACCTATTTATAGGAAAGCTTCTCTTGCTCTCCAAGGCATAAACCCTAGAAACCCCTAAATTTTAGCCTAAAAAAATAGTCAATTTCCTTGTACTACTCGATCCAATTCACAGAAAGGAAAGACATAGTCAATTTTGACTCAATTTCTAACTTAACTTAACAATTCAATAAAGTAATTAACTTTCTTTTAATGACAAAATACTCAAATTCCCTTAATGAAATAAGGATTAGGGCCGGCTATACATTAGTTTCTTAACCCTGATTTTATTTAACTTAAATAAATAGATTATAACCTATTTACGGACTCAATAAAATAGTAAATAATTTAAATAGTTTCCCGCGCGGCCTTCTTCCATGCGTCTGAATTGATATGCAATAGGATTGAGTTTGATTGAAAAACTTGGTGCGTACTCTTTTTAGAAGGGAGAATATGCAAGACGTTCGAGCAAATGTTGCCTAGTCTTGTTTTGGATTTTCGTTGGAGTGATTGATGAAGTAATCAGTCCTTGCAATCTATATTGACCAAATGAGGAACATAATCAAATCACTTCGAGATTTGATACCATTAAATATCACTCTGATGACCGAGTCACTAAAATCAACGTGAATTTATGAATTCTCGTTCATGTACATGTATCGAGATGTAGAGATCGATAATTAGTTCGTCAAAACTCTACTTTTATATTTAAAACTTTTTGTCAACTTATATACATCATGATAAAGGGCATATTTTGACTATGTTGAAAAAAATTAAAATTGATGTTTTCTATTGTTTGCTAACTTTAGTACCAAAAATTAAAGAGTCCGGCGGCAAATTCAAAAGATTATAAATAAAAAAATTAAAAAAAAGCTTGATGCATAAAAATCTTGACGATCAAGCCGATCAAATGTAATTTTTTCCTCCTTGACTTAGACATCCGGATAAAGAAGACCAGGCCGACAAACTCAACTTTTACGTTTATTTCATTTCATCGACTTACACATCGAGCTAATCATCCTGATTCCAAAGTCGGGCGAACCTAAATTTTTTTATTTATTTTTGTTCGTCGACTGTTCTATCAAGATAATAAAGCCGACACACAAGTCGGCGATTCTCATCTTTTGTTCATCTTTTTCGTCGGTTGTTACGTCGAGATGATAAACAAGACTAGAAAATCGACGTATCTCAATTTTGTTTGTTTTCGTTCGTCTACTTTTACGTCGAGATAATTAACTCGACGCGCAAGACTACGAACTTCAACTTTTCTGTATTTTTGTTCGTATGAGAAGTTTTAGTCTTGTTCCCCTGATCGAAATCCAGGCATTAAAGAGATTGAAAATCATCCACATAACATAACCATTGCTTGAAAATGGCAATTTACAGACAACTACTACAACTTGAATATGGCATCCCATTTCCTACTTCTAATCTTTAACTTTAAAAACTATGTTCACAAGAATCCTCACTACTATACTCAAAAAGAATTACGCTTTTAGGTTTATCCGACCAAATAAAAACCAATAAATCCCTGACAAAGGGAACTTCCCCCATTCTATGAGTAAATCTTCCCCTCTCCAACAGCTTTCTTTCGTATTCCTTTGCAGAGTTTTGAATGATAGTGGCATTTGTTTCCGAACTTGGCGTGCTAGTACAGATGCTAGTTGGTACAGTCGAAGCCACGACATACTGACAGCCAGATTACAAGGATCAAGAACAGGATGATTCCAAGCACAACCAATTTTATTTTCATATTCTGATACCACATCTTTCTTCGTATCTGTGTACTATTCTTCTCGAAATGCCTTGCCTGTAGTTACAAAACATGGAAAGGATCGTCAGAACTTCTAAACATTTCTTTCCAATTTGCTTCATTTGGTTAGTTCATGGACCATAACACATCTAGAGAATAAGAAATGGAGAACAGTTGAAGAATGAAACCCACCGAATCACGTAGATTTTCAGCTTTGCCAACAAGAACTGTTAGGTTTTCCCCTCTCTCCATTGCCTGCAATGTGGAATATCAAAATTAAAGTACGACAAAGGAAGTAATAGCATCGTTACTGATATCACTCAGTATGCAGTAAATCTTTTGCTATATTGCATGTTCTGAACTGTTTTTAAGGCTACAAAATGAGATAGAGGATGAGGATTGAATAAAGTAGACATTAACGAATGCACATAATTATAACTGAAGGAGCAACAACATTTCTTAATAAGACAATTTACTTACCGTATCTATGTTCTCCAACATTATATTTTTTACTTCTGAAACTTGGGCCTTAACTTTAATCAGTTTATCAATCTCATCGGCATGGTCAATTATGAACTGCATATGCTCCTTCATTACCGGTCTGTCAATAAAGGAAGAAAAGAGAAGGCCTTAATTAACTGTGTCTCGTTCAAGATTGATTTAAGAACATGCATTTCTATGTCTTTCACATACCCAAACTCCTTATTTAGGCTTTTCGCACCAGCAGTGGAGGCTTTGCCACTACCATATCTTTTCTTAAAATCGGCTTTAACACGCTCTAAGTAAGCAATCGAAATCTGCTTCCCCACAGATTCTTTGGCAACAACACAATAAACTGCATAAGATATAAAATCAGTTTACAATAGTTTATAAGCCGGTTAAAGTTAAGACTCATAGAGCAAGACCCTAATGATTCAAATACCAACAAAGATATCACATTCCTTACAGCACCAATTTCTATTATATAGCAAAATCAAAACTTCTTAGACTCATTTGACGTGAATTTGAGGGCTTGAACACTGACAAATAAATTACATCCTCAAAATACGCCATTTCAATTCCTGATATACTTCAGTGGACTAGGACTTGCAAATGATAATTAAATATTGTCACGTACACAGCAGTTGATACAATTCAAACAGCAACGGAGGAATTCAATGATTAGAAACTTCAACTACAGTCAATGGGTATCGACAACAACAATTAAATCTTTATCTTACTCTGTGAGATTCGTAATACATATCAACCTTCAACAAACACAAGCAACTTGACATATTAGCAAGTTGATAAACACATCCAATGACTTTCCACATTACTTCCAATCTTAAGCCAAAAGCTGTCCATTCCAACAAATTTAAATGATCATACCTCTCTCGTATATTATGACAGCGCGAAAACGTTGTGTATTCCATTCAGCAGGTCATGAACCAAAAAGCTAAACCATACTTCATATTCACAATCCTTTTAGATAATCAATTACTTAGATTTCAAACCTAAACTCAGCAACCCAAAACTAGTATCAAGCAACTAAAAACACAATCCTTACTTTCTACAACTTGCATCTTCTATCATTATATTCACATTTAAACTAAGATCATACTACTTAAACAATCCTCTGTTCTCCTCTCGATGAAGCTATACAATAAGACTTAAGGGCACCTACGTATGTGCAAATTCTACAAACCAAGAAACACATTCCAACTCTTTCCAGCACTGGCTTAATTGATTACAACAGAACTTCAAGAAGCCAACTTCCCTACTTCTACAGCATTCCAAGAGTAAAAGGAAAAGGAAAAGGAACCTCTACACTAATGTCCAAGAATAGCTCAAAATCTAAACACACAAAAGCCTCCGCCATATATGCAAGTTAACAAGCCAATTCGACTCTGACAATCCCACGAATACAAAATAACTTCACTAGTTTCGTTTCAAAGATGTAAGTTTTACACTTCAAAAAGGAAAAAGAGGAACAAAAACAAAAAAAGATCGAAGAAAAGAGAAACAGAACCCATTTCCGCTCCAAAAACATAGATCCAGTAAATAACATTACAACTACATCTCATCCTAGCACAAATGATTTTCATTTCCAGCAACAAGAAAGCACAATTAGCAAAGCTCTAAAAAGGGATCCCACCAGACAACCCAAGAAAAACAGGGAAAAAAAAGGGGGACAAGTTTAGTACTTTACCAAAACCATCTTCAGCAAGGAAGTTAAAAGTGTGGTGGTCACAATTGTAAGTGAATTTGCTGTTGGATGAAGGCAATTTCTGCAGACACTGATCTGCAATGGCCGGAAAGTTGCCGGTAAACTCTGTATACTCAGCTAAAATCATAGTACCCCTTGCAACAAAGCTGTATATGAACGATTCCTGACCCATTTTCTTGAATTTCTTTCACAACCCAGAATCCCAAAAACCAAAAATAAAGAGAAAAAACGAACAAAATATTTCAGGGCTGAAGGGAAGAAGAAGAAGTAGGAATATGGAAGCTGAAACTTTGTTGAAATGACAGTAGAGAAATCTTTTTTTGTCTTCATTGAGTCATTTGTTTGGTTTTTATAGTCAATAGGATTAAGATGTGATTAGTATTTATTTTATTCTTTGAAAAGCAAAGATTTAGAGATATTTGGGATTAATTAATTTTTTGCTTTGGTACGAAGTTATGATGAACTCGGTTTTATTGATATTGTCAAGCCAACCCGGGATTCTTCTAGAAATTCAAGACTCAATTAGGAGGAGGGAAAGGGAAAGAATAATCAACGCATACGTCGTCGTTTGAATTTGAAGCATTCAAATCAAAGCTTTGTTTTCAAACTTAATAAAATCAACATTTTCATTAGTATTATTTCGTCAAAAAATTACGGCTTTCATAATTTTTAGTTTATTTTCTTTGTTTTAGTATAACTTTCAAACACATCAAAAGCGTATTGAACAGGTAGAAATGTAGGAAGTTGAATCAGGATTATGCAAAGGTAAAAAATGAAAATTTAATTGAAGTTTGTTAACTTTTAGTGACATGATTTATATTATTAGTATAAGCAAACGTGATTTAAAAAAAATTAGCAAAACAACTCTTTTTTTTTTTTTTGCATTAATACTCATTAACATAGAGCATGGAGTGAGATCACTCTTTAATTGCATGTTTGTGTTTCAACAATAAATTCAATTTAATTAAGCAACACTAATTTGGCAAAGTGGAGACAAAAATGTTGGAAAATATTTCTTTTGAAAGGATCTTTCTAAAGTCGATGAGGATTATTAGTTTGATACACTCAAAAAACTTTATGCAATATGCAAGAACATTAGATATAGTTATTCCATTTTACATTACATATTGCATAATAGGAAAATGATACTCTTAGTAAAATAATATAGTGAGAAAATATAGTGACTGATGTGTATTCCCTATTTTGTTGCCACTTTGCCGTTGAAATTTTTTCTTTCTCTTCAAAATTACTCTTTTACTCTTAATTACTATTGACACATCAGTCACTATGTATTTTCACTATTTTTTCTCACTATTTGTATCATTGCTCTACATAATAATACACATTCCCTCAATCCTAAAATTATTGTTCATTTTTTAGTTTTAATACAATTTAAACTATAAAATGAAAATCCAAACTAAACAATAATTTCGGTCAGAGAGTATATTATACTACAAAAACTAAAACTGGAAATTTTCAGAATGGTGTATTTATATGCTTCATCTTATACTGTGTTTGGTTGGTTTTTTTCATATTTTATTATTATTATTTGTCCCATCTTAGCATACCTTTTTACATTTCTAATGCACCTTTTTACATTTTCAATACAAAAAACACCTAAAAACACACACTAAAAAAACAATCCAAACATTTTTTTTTTTTCTTTTATCTCCTACATGTAATTTTGTGATTGGGTAAGATACCAAAAGCAAATTGTAACATTTGTAAATGGACCAAATGTGGCAATGTTATGAAATGATTTATGTCGGAAAAGGTTGGGCTACTGTGATGCTTATGTACTTGATGGTTGTTCCTTTATTGGACTTAAACTTTGATGGTTAGTGGGGACATAGGTAAGCCCAATTAGAGGCTTATGTGTATTTTCTTTTCTTTTTTTAAAAAAATTTTGTTTTTGCCATTATTTAAAGGTTGATTGCCCTTTATTTTGTGTCACAAGATAATACACTAGTTGAACTTAAAAATATATCCTCAATGGTAAAAAGTAAACATCGTCGCCTGATCCTACAATCACTTCCGACCAATGAGAGTTGAAGAGAAAATTGGCACTTACAAGTTCATCGTGAGAATATCGGTTTTAACTATCGGCAATATCTATAACACTATTTAACTACTAATAAAATGAGAATTTGACATATTTGAGATTGACAAAATGGATTGTATGTTCAATCATACTAGCTGAATGTAGTATATTTTAACTCAGTTACAAGTGTATTTATTGACGAAATCGGTAGACGCTAAGTAAATGAGAGAAAATCAGAAATTGATTACGATTAATAATTTTAGGATATTAATTTACTGACTCCTTGGGCTTTCAGCTTTGTCATTTGTCAAGATTTAAAAACAAACAGAAAAGATAAAATGTCAAACTTTGGAAAAACATACGCAAAGTCCTACTTGAAAGATGATTATTGACAAATATAATCTGGATCAAAATGCAGAAAATGTTTCTTGTATTAGCCAAAATCGACATTTAAATGAATCCTTGAGGGGTTATCTGCAAATAAAACATTTCCAGAACCATCATAAAAATTGTCCAAGCCCATTTACCCAGAAACAACTTCTCTCAGTTCTCATCATAGAAATTCACGAAATTTTCAAAACTGAACTAAGAACAATTTCGCCCGCCCAATCTTCAGTTGGAATCATTGTACTATAAATTTAAGGTTTCTTGTCTTTACTCTGTTCATAATTGTGCTGACATTCCAATTTCCAACTGTCCAACATTTCAACCCTAAGCAAAATCCCAAACTCTTTTTCTCTCTCAATTTTTGAATCCGCCCATTTCTTTCATCCCAAATCCGCCATGGCCAACTCCGATTCAACAACTCCAAAGGTCGCTGCCCCTCTGTCCGAGGTACTATTTAGTCTGCTCCATTTTTTAATTTCCGTCTAAAGTTTTGATTTTTTTTTCTTGCTTTTCATTTTTGTGTGGCTAATTTTTTTTTCCTCTCAATTTTTGCAGAATAATGAAAATGTGCCTAGTACTCCCAAGCTTGAGGTATGTTTCGATAATTCAAAGTTTGTGTTTCATTATGGCCGTAAATCTTGTGATAGGTTTAAGTTTATAGTGTAGCTACTGTTGCTAAAGGTTGTACCTTGCTCTTGGAGGCTCTTATTTTTGCGGTTCTGGACTTTTGGAGTAGATTGACAAAAACCCTGATTAAAGATCTGATTTTTCTGTTTTGTTGGTTCATTTGTTTTTTTTTATGGCTTAGGGTTTTATGGTTAGTAAGGGAAAACCCTGTTGAAGTTTTGAATTAGATGATGGGTCTTTTTCTTTTTTTTTTTTTTTTTCTTTTGGCTCTCTAGGGACATATCTAATAATGGTGGATTATAAACTGGGCAGTAGAGTGGAATGGGGAAAATCCCACATTCAAGTTTTCATTTTCAATGGGATTTTGGGTGAATTTGCTGTAAGCTAGCATAATTTTGACTGTTGTCTGAAATTTTAGTGGCTTTCACTGTAGGACTTGGCTGAATCGAGGAAGGAGCTGCTAAATAAAATTCAGAATTTGAAGCAGGTTTCTTTATCTTATATAATATCTGTCTTGGCTCTATGTTACTGAAGCTTAGCATTCTGTTGTGTTTATGTTGTTTGCGATTGATGCCTAGGATCTTCAAGGTTGGAGATCAAAGCTGGACACCCAGGTTAAGGCGTACCAGAATGTGAGTGGCCAAGTGATTTTCTTTGTGATTGATAATGATTTTGTGATGGATGCATCTGTGTAGAAATTTGTTTCAATTGCTCTGTTTTTCTAATACTGAGTTCAAGAACGGGACAAATATGCTGAAAGTCACTCGTCTTGCATAAAACAGAAAATTCCTGTCTTGTTGTTAGTGTTGATTGACTAGTAGCTATATAGTAATGAAAATATCGCGTAGATGAACTCTCAAATATAAACATCTTTAGTACTTGAACTTATGCCTCCCAGTCTTAATGGATGCCAGTGGATGTGCTTCTGGAGTGTTTATTGCCTGTTTAAAACGATGCTATGGTTTTCTTGCTTTGTGAAATGGGATACTCTTTAGTTGCATTGCACTGCCTTCTTGAAGTAAATAACTGCGCTCTATGAAACTTGGACATTGAATTCTATTACTAATTAATGGAGCCTATTTGTCGAACTTTCTGCAGGAGCTTTCTGAAATTAAGAGCTCACTGAATGCTGAAGTGGATCAGCTTCGAGCTGTGAGTCTTGCTATTGATGAACTTTTAAAGATGTTTGATGTTTATATATGTATTTACATTGACCGCATTTTTTACTTTAGGATTTTCAAGAGCTGAGGACTATACTGCAGCAGCAACAGGATGATGTGGCAATGAGCTTGAGGAATTATGGGGTGAGCTATCTCATCATTCATTGTTCTGAAGCTTTTTAGTTGTTTCCTTCGTGTGTAGTAATCCAGTTCTGAAAATTTCCAGCTGCATGATGACAATGCTGTTACGCATGAGGGCACTGATGTTCCTAAAGCAGAAATCAAGGAAGAGGTTATTGAAGTTGTGCCTAAGGTGGAAACTCAGGATTAACGAGAGCTTCGTTATGTCCTGTAAGTACTGGACTGATCTTTCGTCTGGGCCTGTGCCTGCATCATCTGATGCTTCCTAGCTATAGTATTGTCTTTTGTTTCTTTCCAATGTAGTAGTTGATTAAAACAACAAATTAATAGTTGATTAAAACAACAAATTAATCCCCAGTATATTTGATAATATTCCCGGGAAAGGAAGCTTCAGAGTTCCTTTCTTTTCTGCATCAACTGGCATAAGTTGATCTTTTCAGCAACTTTATGCTGGTTGAGGGGGTTCAGGGAATGTATAATGATCCAACTTTGTCAAAATATGTGGGTGTTAAGTTTTAATCTCAGTAAACCTTAGTAGCACTATTAGAAAGAACACATTTGTTGATGGAGTAATGATAGAAAAACTGATATAGTTAAGCTTCCCAAAGCTAGCTTGGTATGTGAAGTCTTCTCTTGCCCCTTCTTTTGTGTTGGAAACTGCAATTCTCTAGGTTGGTGGAATGCACAGTAACTCATGTTGTATAGAAGAGACAAGTATCAAGGGTTCTTTACTTCTTTCACTGTTGAAAAGGATATGCTCCCACTTCCCAGCTTGGTTTACTGTATTTATTTCACCTCAACTCCACGAATTCTAGGATTTAATGAGCCAGTAGTTGTAGACTAGTGGTTAAACCCCCTTCTCACAGAACCCACTCAAACTCGTTTTCATAGTGTAATTTGCATGAGTAATGACCCGTTAGTAAGCCTCCCTTTATCTCGCTATTTGGGTTGGTTATATGAATTATATGTTACGGTCCATTATGATTTTGTGACCAAATTGAGTTGGATTCCCAAACGATCAGGAGTCTTAACCAATTGCAGAGGGTCTGGAGTTCATAAATGGATGTAATGCTATCTCCCACTATTGGTGAGTCCAATAATTGGCATTATATGGTGTGTACTTTGGTGATGAGTCCAATAATTGGCATTATATGGTGTGTACTTTGGTGATGTACGATATCATAAAGTAATCAAAATCAAGCGAAACAAAAAGGTTTCAAAAAAAAGAATTTTGGGACAATGCCATTACAAATGGTGACCCTTTTTTTTTTCAGCATCATTTTTTGAGTGATATGGTACGATAAGGAAAAAGAAAAGCAAATATTGTGGTCATCTCAATTGATACAAACACTATACTTTTACTTTTTAGAAAAAAAAAAGAAAAAGAAAAAGGAAAGGCACCAAAGTTTAACTCATTACTGGGGGTGATTTGATTGTACGGTAAAAGAATTGCATTCTTCATGCACTCAATTGGTTGATTGATCCACCATATCAACATCATTTTTTTTAAAAAAAGAAAATGGCTTCGTTAAAACACCAGAGAAGATGCAGCATCAACTATATATGTATATATTTTCCCAATATGAGGAGGAATATGTGCATTTTGCCTTGCATTCATTAGATTTGGTGTTAATTGAGACCAAACTATCTTGATACTTTTTTTTTTTTTTTCCCTTCTCAAAGTGCATCTCCCAAAACACTGACTGTTGTATTGGACCGTGGAGATTTCTACCATTTTAACAATTTTCACTTGCTTTGACTGCTTCTTAATGATTTTTGCTTTATTTTGGCCCTTCAAATTGTTTAAAATGTTTCATAACTGCAGAGTGCAGTCTCATTGTAGAACAAAAAATGTACTGCCTTCATTTTCAAAATTATTGTTCAGTTTAGATTTTCATTTTTAGTACAAATTGAACTAAAAAATATATATATATACTTAAATTGAACAATAATTTTGAGACGAAAGAAATATGAATGAAGACATCCGATTAAAGTCCGTATCGTTCATCGTCATTTCCTCTCTTATCTTTAGGCTAATTAAATGGTTTTTCTCATCGCAGTTCCCATTCACGGCTTAATAATAACACCGGACTAATAGGGACAAGTCAAATAAACTTGGAAGAAAATAAAAAAAGTTTTGGGGAAGAAGAAAAATCTAATGTACAAATTGTAATTGTAATTCTAACTAATATTATGATTCAACCAAATTCTAACTATATTTGTATCCTGTTCCGCTCAATTTTTATTTAATGAACTGTAAAAATTATTATATTATCATAATAGACATGTCACACCAACATTTCTCCAATCTCATTAAATCAGACATGACTCGTGACAAATTACGTTTATTGGGAACACAAAATTTGGAGTTCCATTCCATCGATGGCATGCATTTACGCAAGTTATGAAGTAGGAATTTTGATTGTGATATTTGCAGTAGAATATTTTTGAACATATGGAAATATAACATCGGAGATGGAGAACAAAATTGGCCTAATTTTGACCAACCTTGTTCCCAGGCCTCGTTATTCTCAAAAAAATTTCTGTAACCCAAGAACCTTCACCTCCTCAACACTTCCTTCAAGCAGGAAACCAGTGGACAAACGTTAGATTTATTCTATCCAAGTACAGATGCTGTTGATTTGATTCAACTTTGTGCAAATCCCAAACTAATAGAGCTAGTATATGGTTTGACTTAATTTGTTGATTGGTCAAACCTTAAATTTGTAAAAGTCATTTGTTTAAGTTCTTCTATCATCATCATTTTATCAACCTTATTTATTTATTTATTTTTTTCGTGGACTCTATTTAAATATCACCTTGCAGCCATCTATTATCAGAAAACACAACAAACTAACCACCACGCTGTCATTCAATTCCCATTTTATCAACCTTTTAAAATGCTAAATAAATCATTGTAAATCTTTCTTCCCATTTTAAAAACGTTTGCATTTAGAGGACGAAAAGAAGTTGATTTGATCATAAATTAGGAAGGACAAAAGAAAAAAAAAAGGAAAAAGAAAAAGAGAGGAACTTAGTATAAGTAGTAGCTTACGACAAACATGCATATCTCAGTTGTTATGGTGCTAATTGCATGGTCAATTGTAGGGATCTTTTTATGGGTTGAAATCAAAGGTATCGAGTTACAAACCATACAAATACACGTCCACTCTTAATCTTATATGAACGAGGTTGGTCCATACATTATTACTAAAAAATTACTCATATATTTTGTGAATCAACTACGCCCACAATGTCTGTTCTAACCATGATAATATTTGTCAAAATGCGTTAATAATAGATAATCCTCTGGTACTCTTGTTGAGAACAACCCAAGCAAATAAAGATAAAACTATTCTTTACCTCAATTCTGAATCACTGAGAGTTATGATTTCCACTAATAAAAAGGGGGGAAAAAAGAAAAAGAAGAAGGAAAATTCTAGAATGAATCAAATGTATAATTGACTTGAGGATATGGCCTCAATGCAAGGTCAAGTACATAATATACATAGGGCATCTTGTGTCATTCTCATTTCACAATTAGACTTTAGTGAAGCTCTTCTTGCACTTTTCCCGCTATAGAATAGTAATAGTAATAGTACTACCTAGTTTGTACAACACCCTTCTTAACTCAACACCTAATAAGCATTCATTTCATTCATTCATTCCTTCTTTCTCCAAACTTCAAAAGTTTCTCATACTTTCCTCCCTATTTCTCCCCCAAAACACACAGTCATACACTACTACTAGTTTACTACCTCTCATGGCTTTACCACCGCCTATGGAAGAACAACAACCATTAGAGCCACTTCAGTACCAGGTATACAACTATGTTTATAACTACTTATATTCTGTATGTTTCATGCTATTAACTTAGAGGTTTTAGTTTCTCAGCTGAATTTCTTGTTTTTTTTTTTTTTTTTCTCTACTTTGTAGACATGGAATTTGAAAGTTTCTATCCACTGCCAAGGCTGCAAGAGAAAAGTGAAGAAAGTTCTGATGAGTATTGAAGGTACTGTTTTTTTTTTCTTTTTTTGAGTCATTCTTTTTTGCTTAAACATGGAGAGTTCTTAGAGAAAGATTGTTAATTTTTGCCGTGTTTTGAGTTTTTGAGGGAAAATGCTGTAGCCCTTTTAGTATTTCAGTTCAAAAGTTGATATCTTGGCTTTAATATAATACAGGGGTTTATACTGTGAGTATTGATTCACAACAGCAGAAAGTTACTGTGACTGGGAATATTGATCCACAGACTTTGTTAAGGAAATTAGTGAAAACAGGGAAGCATGCAGAGATGTGGCCTGAAAAGCCTCCTGGTAATGGTGGGAAGGATAAAAAGGCTGGGAAACAGAATGGAAATGATAATAATGGCGACACAAAGAGTACCGAAGGGAGTGATGAAGAACAAGAAGAGAATCCAGGTGAAAATACCAACAGCCCTGTCAAGAATGTTGCAAATGGTGGTAGTGGACAAGTTGTGAAATTTCTTGGAGTTGACGGTGTTGTTGCAAGGGGAGGTATTGATGGGAAGATGATCGGAACAACCGGAGAAAAGCCTCCGGCGAATGAGCCGAAAAGCAACAACACGAACAATGGAAATGGTGCAGCAGCTCCTGGTAGTGGAGGCCATGGTAAAAAGAAGAAAAAGAAAAGCAAAAAAGGTAATAACAACAATAACAACAGCAGCAGCAATAACAACAATAACAATGCAGCTTTAGGATCTGCTTTGGCACACTCAAGCACAGGAATGGAGGCTCCAATTCCAAATATGGGTCTTAATCAAGTTGGTGATCAGGATAATCTCAGCCCTTCAAATCAGAATTTGTACCAGTATCCCCCACAAAGTTATGCCCCTTATCATCATCAAGCATATGTTGTCAGTTACAATGCTGTTCACCCCAGCATTAGTGCTGGTCCAATGTGGTATATGCCCCCATCATCATCACCATACATGTATGCATACACACAGTCATCAGACCTTTACTCTCCAGAGAATTATGGTGGGGGATCATCAGCATTGAATACATTTGAAATCTTGAGTGATGAGAACCCTAATGCATGTTCTGTTATGTGAGAAAACTGAGATTATCTTTCTGAGATGTTCTGTTATTAGTCTAATTAGAAGTATGATTTTGTGTGGACCAAGAAAAGTTGTATATAAGTGCAGGCAGTAGGGAATGGTGGAGTCAATGCTACTTTTGAGCTTTTTGATGAGTCTTTTGTAGGTTGTTTTTTTTGTATGCTTAGATTTCAGGGAATTAGATTAGTATTAATGACTAATGACTATTTGTCTGACTTTTTGGCAGTTCCAAAGATCTTTAGATCATATTTTTACCATTACTATATTGCCACAATCCTTGAGTTTGCTGTTGAGTGATAGTATTTGTGATGTATTGATTCAAACCATGGATGCCTTACATTTAATGAAAAAAGACATGCAAGGACCACCAAATAACCTTATGAAAATTATGATACATTTTTTGAAGCTCTTTTTATCATCTTGAGTGATAAGCTAAAAAAGCATTCTTTTTGGCTGTTTTCCACTTTCACAATTCCAGTTGACAAAACAATTTGGTTCTAGTCAAGAATCTACCCTGTTCTTTCCTGTAATTTCTGATGGTTTCAGCTCAAAAAGCTTAAAACACCAAAATACAATCTATCCAATTCAGTTCTATGAACAAATTGCAAAAGGGAGTCAACAGTTGCTGCCAGAAAGTTGAAATGATTCCATCTTCAAGCAGAAACAAGAACTCAGTAACAGATATCCTCACAAGATTGATTCCAAAACAGAGTTGCAAAAGAAAGATGGAATATATATTATGGACTAGTCTTTTGTAATCTGCCTAAATTATGAAACTCAAATATTTTCAGGCTCTTGATAAGTGGGAGGGAGAATAACACAACACCCTAATCTAAAATTTGCAGAATATTCAGCAAAAAGTATTCTTCTTCTCTATAAACCAGTAAATCACGAATGGCATATATGAATTACTTAGTGCTTTGAACTAAAGCAGATTCTAATTGAAGTTCATGATCATCTACAAATCGAATACAAACCAAGATATCATCATATAGGCATTGATCATGACTTCTCATGTCTTTTTTTCTGAGGAAATTCGAAAAAGAAGTCAAATTTCTAGCCCTTATTTAGCCCTTCTTCAACCCTGATTGATGTCTCTACTACAGCAAAATAAACATGACCTCTTTAACTGAGAGCTATCTTTGATTTTATTCCCTAAACCCTCCACTTGACATTCCTAAGCAGAAACATGGTGAGAATCTGGGAATATATGTATATCAAACCAAGCAAGCTCAAATTAAACCTTTCGAGTACGTGAAAGGGGAAAATCCAAGATGAACTCTTTGTTTATCCTAAGACAAAAATGGGCTTCCATAGAGGACAAAGAATTGCTGAATTACTGGAAATTGGCTGCAAAGAAAGAACCTTGGAGCCCCTAAACTCTCTTATTTTAAAGTTTCAAACTTTCTTCACAGTTCCCACCTCATTTAACAATTGTACAACATGTGGGGACCTCAACTTAAAAAAATATAGGGTAAGAAAACAACTACCATATCGACATTCGACAGTTTCAAAGCTTTCAGCTGCGGATGATTGGTGTACAAACACTGATTCGAAGTTCACAGATTGTGATTATATTGTAAGGTGCAAACTTAGACAAGGTCTAAGCCTAGTTGCCTTGTTTATCAATGCCTCGATCACATGAAAACATTTCTTAAGGCACAAAACTAGACTAGAGATAACTTTGACAATTTCTGAAAGGTCGAGAAGGTACAAAGTTGAGCATCTAAGAGAGGAACCGTGCCAAAAACAATCCATATCAAGTCATGAGAATAACTTTCTCCTGTTTGGAATCTATCACTTGTGTGGTACTGGTAGAGCCCCTTACAGAATAGGCTCCTATGTCAAATTAGAACTTACCATTCCTTTCATCAAGATTCTCCATATTCGCTTTGCTTCTTTTTCAAGCCTTACATTACCACTAGTTATGTACCCAATTGGATGTACAATATAAACAGGTTATGAAAGTAAACCATATAAGATATCAATTATTTAAAACTCTGTTCACATAGACATGCTCTAGTTGCAACTTATATTGCAAAAATTGTCCCAAGAAGGTAACATAGGCTATGCTAATATTCCAACAAAGAGATGACGGTGTTCGACGGAAAATAACGCTATATACAATTCCAAACAATAGTTTGTCCTAGCATTGCAAAAATAATGTAGACGAGAGCTGGAAAAATATATGGCAACTTTGATGTGTCCTTATTGGCACTCACAAGCGAGTGGATGCTTTTAAGGTTCTCTTATTCATACCCAAGATAATAACCATTACAGTGATATCATCATGATACTTTCTTCTTCTTCCTGCCGGAATACTTTGCAATTCTTCAATAGTAAATCCTACAAAGGGAAACAATGCCAAAACATAGATAATCATTTTATCAGTATTTTACTTACCCTTGAAACCAAATTCAATGAACCCAAGAACAGAAATTTGGAGAATTGAGGAACTTGTAATAAATACCTGCAGAATTTGCTGCTCTAATTAGAAGCTGCTCAACAAGGTATTTTGCTGGATCACCATTTGGATAACTAGAAATATAGGAGTGAACAAGCTTTACGACTTCTTCGTTAGTGAAGAAGTCAAATAAACCATCACTTCCAAGGACAACAAAAAGATCAGAATTTGAAATTTCGTGAACTTTCAGTGAAGGCTGCACTGATATATATGGAGGACTAACAAGGTTGCGGACTCGAAGAATACCCATCAAAGCATCATTCATGAGTTTCTGCATCCAAAGAAAATAGATGTTATACCGCTCATATTCATAGGCTGATTTCTTCACAATGAAATTAGTGGAAAATTAACAAAACATTCACTATGTTGGGAAAAAAATCTTCAAACTCAGATAAACATCCTTACTTATCAGCCAATTTTTAATGTCACAAGCATAGTTTTTGCTTTCTTGGTTTAAAGGACCAGTCATCCCTAACAACAAAGTAATAGACTTCTTGGACTTTTGAAAGTGGAAACATGATCATAAAATATTACCTTCTTCAAGTAGCCAACTCCAAGTGCACGAGTGACTTTCAACTTTCCTTTGACTTTTCCACCATAAATCACAGAGGGATCATCAGGATGATCACGAAGAAGTTGAGTTCTTTCATCTTCATTATCAACAGAATGAATTTCAGAAAGCTGGACAGCTATGAGGCCATCATTAGCACTTCTGCCACTGTTTTCATCGTATGTAGCCAATACAGCTCGACTATCACCAATGTTTAACAAGTACAAGTTTTGCCCGAGAAGAAGTGCAACCAATACACAAGATCCAATGGAGACTAAGTCAGGACGGTCATCCATTTCCTGTTCAACCATGTGGAGAAAATCATTTTCAGCTTGATTAAGAGCATTCTGAAGACTGCTAAGTACCCTCTCCTTGTACGAGCCACCAGTTTTTTCAATTTCTAAGGTACTACTCCCAACACTATCAGCATACGAATACATCTCCACATCTACTAAAGCACTTTTTCTTGTGTATTGATAAGGTTCACCGAGATGGTGAAGGCTTCCATTAGCAACTTTTAGTAATTCTTGCTCTAGCTCCATATCCAATAAGTTAAGATGATAACCTATTGTTTCATATAGCGTTCCAGCCAGGAAATCAGCTGCATCTCTACCATTAAAACCATCATATATCCCACAGAATAACCACCCATTCTCTTCAGAACAAACAGCTTGAACTCTATCTTCGCCAGCAGCCCCACCGGCAACTTCTACTTCTGTTGTATTCAGAAATCCATCAGTTTTAGGAGTGCTTGATGACTTGGGTGAAAAAGAATCGTAGTCATGCAGCTCACTAGGAGTTGACGGACTACAACTCAAGTTCGACACGTTACCATGAGACGATGACAAGAAATCCAACTTCGAAAATGACGGAGAAGAGGGAATCCTCCTAAATGAATTAGGAGAATCCAAAGTTGGCAATATCTCTGCCCCAATCAACCCATTGCAAATGTTCGTGTTGGCTAAAGTGGCATTCGCACTTAAAGCAGCACCAGACAAGCAGAATGAACTGTTGTTTCTTCGGCCAAATATTGCAGAAGGAATGTCAATTCCTTTTGGTAGATTATAAGGATCCTTTTCCTGGAAAGCACACTGATAACCAAAACTTATTTGAATATCTCCTGTTGACTCATTCATCGACTTCCCATGCATGTTTCCAACTGATAACCAAAACTTATTTGAATTAGGATATTGAAAGAAACAATATATAGAATTAGGATATTGAAAGAAAAAAGATATACTGCTATCCTGGTCCTGTACCCGATCTCAGTTGCCAAACTTTCTTTTCTAAATACGAATGATATGACAAGGCAACATGCTATACTTGCGAGTAAAATCTAACTAAACATCACTTTGCAGAATAAGACATCACTATGCAGATTAAAAAAGAACTTCAGGTTATATATTCAATGTGCTAATCGAAACAAAGAGTTGTATTTTCTTCCAGAGATTATAGAACAAGAAACATTCACAAGTTCTCATCGAGCATAATGGCAAAAAATAGCCCATTTAGATTATGTGAGTAAAAATCTTCATCCGTCTATAGTGGAAGGAATCTTTAAGCTGTAAGCTACAACAAATTAACCAAAATAGCCAGAACATGAGAAGATAACAAAACAGCCGAAAAAATACACAACATTGACAATTTCTCGGCTCCTATAAAGATCACATGAACATTAATTGTCCGACGGTGTACGGTTAAACATACACAATGCAATACAAATTCTCTCCAAACTAAAATCTACTCAAACCATTGAAAATAAATCTATTCAGAATCTTCTGTCTATTTGCGACTAAACAAAATCCCAACTGCCAAAGATCAGAACTTTGGTCACTAACAACGTTTACCCTTACTTTCAATTTTCCTTCTTTTCCACTGAAGGGTCATTGATTTTTCCTCTACTAGTTTATTTTACAGGAAATACTTAATGCAACACAAATCTCCAATATCAACAGAACATAAAAATATAATCTTTCTACACCATATTCGAAATTGTGAGGCAAACTCAGAAATATAATCAGTAATATCAATAACAGATCAAAATTAAAAGAATCCCACCAACCTTCTCGAGCTCCAGAGTGAATCCGGGATCACAAAAAGATAGCCTCAAATCCTCCTCAACAGAACACAATCACAGCAGATGATTAAAGCCCTTTTCATTCACCAGTCTTTGATATGGTTGTAACCATTCAAGAGCTAGCAGAAAACTGATAAGTGCAGAGAAAACTGAATAAAAGTGTGTTTGTATAACAAGGAGAAAACAGTGAAAATTTTCACCAGGAAGTTGACAATTAGTAGGAGACTTGGAAGTGATTGTAATTTGTTTCAGAGAAAAAATAGGGAGAAGACTGAGAAAAGAGAGAGAAAAAGGAGGGAACAGCGAGGTGTTATTGTATGGTTAAGAGGGGTTTTTGACGAGTGACTATAGGCAAAAATATAAATATATATATATATATATATTAAATACAAATAAAAAAATAATTTCATTAATAAAACCATTGGCTGAGGTTATTTGAGGAATTTAAACAAAGTCAAAAGTTTCTTTAAACTCTTCATTATTATTCTCGCTAATTTTTACCGAGTCTTCCAGATGATTTAATAATAACATTTAGATAATATCATAAATTTGATAAATCCAATTTTATATCTTATTTCTACAATCGAAATTCTTTTTTTTGAAAATTAACTTAGTTTTCCTAATCCAAATTATTAAGAAGTTGTATCCCTTTTGCAAACATGATTTTGTCCACAGCTCTTCTTGATACAAATTTTCCCTAAGTTTTGGAATTTTTAGCTAAATTCGATGTGTATATCAAATCTTTTTTTTAATCAATCATTTTGTTCATGAAATTTAATGTTCCGAATTAGAGTATATGAGATTTTGCAGTTATTATTAGTTAATAAATCGCAAATATCGTTTATCTAATTTGTGTTAGTTACAAAATAAACCGATCTTGTGTATTTATTACTCCTTTTTTTTTTTCTTTTGTATATTTGCAGGATGTTAATCTCCATCGCTGAATTATAGGCATCTCGGTGGATGGGACAACTAGCCAAAGTATTTAAGATTACTCCATGTCCATGACGAAATTCGAACCCTCGACATATGATTAAGGGTAAATGATTCTCTTCCACTCCCACTACAACCACTTTGTACAAAACTTTATTCTGCCCCATGCACACTTCTATTTTGACCGCATTCTAATTTTAGAGTTTCACACAAAAAAGAGTGATGCCCAATTCACTCAAAATGACCTTTTGGGGGCTCCAAAAGCCCTAATTTGAAGAAAAATTGCTCCTAAAAGGCTAAAACAACTGGCCACAAAATAAAATAAAGAGAACAAATTAAAAAAAAAAAAACAAAGAGGATCAAGTGGGAATTTTTTAAATGGATTATGTATCTTTGAATAAAATGATCCACAATTTCCATTAATGGCATCAACATTAATCATTAATGGCCTTTTTTTAAATTACTATTAAAATAATACTTAATTAGAGTCTTAGATGACTTTCTTGAGATATTCTCCAATGCAATTTTTTAAAAATTAATAAATGAAGAGTAAGCCCTTGACTATGTGATATTTTTTATTTAGTTAGTTAATTAACTAATTTATTATTCCAAAGTGCCAATTGTGTAATTGGTTTAGCAGACAACTACGGTAAGAGACAAAGAAGCTTCCTGTCTTTTTCTTAGCCACCATATTTATTTATTTTAATTTACTAAATATAGACAAATAATACCAAAATAAAAATAAAAAATTAGCACAGGATCCGATCTGCTAAAAGTTACAAAATTTGCTGACCAAATTGTTTTCCTTGTTATCATTTGTTTAAAACTAGGAGACAAATAGCACAATAATAAAAAAGAAAAACCATCAAATTGCACGAATTGATGAGGACTGCTTTGGCCCCAAGCCGCATCTATCAACTTCAGATTCTATAATATTGCCTCCCTCCCAAAAAAATAGTCCACATTGAGTAATGAAATTTTACGAATTTTAATACAAATTTGAAAACTCAATATAGACTATTTTGCTTGAATGGAGGGAGTAATATTTTCTAACAGAAAAATAAATCAAAATTAAAATTTGTGCTCAATGATTGTCAACTTCATTTCTATCGTCACATGTAAGATAATCATTTTACAACGGAGGTAGCGCTACCCGTAATTTCTTAGTCAGAAACTCAATAGGGAAGAATGGTTCTGTAATTTGGAGACAAAAAAATCGTGATTCAACAAGTGAGAACTATTTTTTTTTTTTTGGTTAACATTCAAGAAATGAGATTATGAATTTAAAAGATAGCCAATGATAAAGATATTAAAGAGAAAAGAACCAACTAGATCCAAATGTGACATGGGCAACTGTACCCAAGAGGAACGTTAGGTGATACGGGCCCAGTTGAGGACCCCAAAGAAGGCCTGAAGCGCTAAGTTAGATATGTTTGGGCCCCATAGCCATAGATTTAGTATATGGACCAAAGCAGCTCGAAGCTATACATCAAAAAATCAGAAATTGCTGTCTTCTTGTTATCCATGCAATATTACTCGATATTCTTCTGTCCTTAACCCTACTTGCAAACTAAAATACACAAAACAACTCATTTTCAATTTGTCATTATTCATAAATTTCGAGGCTTGATTAAAATGTGGTTCTCAAACAAGCAGTTGCGCGATGGATTGAGCCTCATGCGCAGATCCTATGCACGGAATAAACTCATGTCCATATTGTCAATTTGTCATTTATACATTTCATTGTAAGTCAATTTTCGATAGCAAAAAATGATGCGGCTAATGGATTTTTAGTGTATAATTTTAAAGATAATCCACAATACGTATGTTAATATCTGCCAGTAGCTAAAGTCAAATTAGGCATGCAAAAGCTATCAAGTTAACTAAAGTATTTTGACAAATGTCTCCAGCTAGTTTTTAAACAAGGGATTGAAGGAATTAAGGATATTACATTCAGATTAGGAATTAATAAGAGGATATCATTCATGATTACAGACAGAATTAAAAAGAATTCGAAACTCAACGTGAATAATTATTTTTGGGGACAGAGAGAGTAAAATAGCCTTAGTAGAAGAGATGGTGTCTATTAATAATGTAACATTTTTCAGGGAAAATGTTATTCAGTCCAGATCGAGAGAGTCATTATGCGTCTTACTATAAAACCATATGAAACTTTAACTATACTCAGTACTATATATGGCTGTCGTTTATTCGATGTCCATCATTACGTGTAACATATCATCAGCTAACTAACAGTACACTAGCACTTTTCAAAAAAAAAAACAGTACACTAGGAATACCAGGTAAGTCTGCAATTTCAGCCTTCAACGTTGTAAAAAACCTTAGTCATTCCTTTCTTTGTGCGGATTTGAGAGACCTGCATGCCAAAGAACCGATCAAATGATATCACATTGTGAAAGTCATTCCAAATGCAGATATCAGCCTAGACAGGAGGCCGAAAATAGACTGGAACTTCTACAAACTATATTAAAGTGGTGTTAGTACCTTTAACCCAAGTATTTCAGATACATCAGAAACATGAGTACCACCGCAAGGACAACCTACATTATCCCCTATCATAACAATTCGAGGATTGCTTTCCTGCATATCATAAAATGCACCAACAAACCTTTAAACAATCATCTTACACCAGAGTTCCATGAACAAGAGAAAACAAAAAATGTGTTGATGAAATGCAGTAAAGAAAGTCTAGTCATGGACAGTGTGGTGATCTCATTTCATTTGCATGGCATATTCTGCAGTGGCTTGCATCCTTTATTCCTTCATAGTTACAAGTTGAAATGAAATTAAAAAAATAGAAGTATAAGGGATTTCGAACGTTATTTGTGACGGAAAGAAAACTAGACTCGGAAGTGTGTCTTAGATCATTCAAGAGCATCTGCTCATTTTTGGTGGGTGCTGAAGTTTAAACTTTTAGTTATTAGTCAAAAATGCAAGGAAAATTTGTTGAAGTGGAAAATATGATGATAAAACAGCAATACAAGAGGGAAGCGGCTCAGAGAGGAGTTGACACTACAGAAGACCCCATACCTTGGGAATGTAGTCTGGGAGGCAGCCGCCACAAAGCTTAGCAGCTTCGTCGTATGGTAATATGGAAACAAACACCTGAAATTGGTTGGCGGGGTTGACAATAGACAATTCACTTAAATGAAGTTTCACAGAGAACATCACAAGAAAGTTACCTTCCCTCCCTTAGCAATTAAATTGTTAGCTTCTATCTCCAACTGCTTCTGCTTACTCAGTAATTCGTTCTGCGGAGCTATTCCTTTATACTCTACATATGGCCTACCAAAATTAAATTTCCATTTTGCAAAGATATAAGGAACTATAGAAGTATTGACATTTGGATCAGTAATATTAGCAATGGATTTCTAAATCACAAATGAACAAATTTGGTGAACAAAGTGCAGAGATAGAAAAGCCATAAAACAGAAAAGTGATTGGTTCAGACACCTTTCCAGAGCAATCCAAAATCAAACATCACTTAACGTGACAATTTGAACATCAAACTCAACTACAGCGACAAAGAAAAAAAGCAATAAAGGCCTCACTCAACTCAATAGAAGAAGGAAAGAATAACACCAAAAAGAAGTAACCTTAACCATCTTTCATCTGTTGCAATCTCCAATAGGCAATAACAAGCAGTGGGCTAAGGTTAAGGGACAATGCACATAACAACATGAACAGGTTCTTGTAGTTACTCATCACATGTAATGCACTTAATATAATCCAAAATCTGCAAGGACGAACTTATTGGTGACAACATCCTTCCTGAATCATTATTCCTTTATGAACTGTGCCACTATCACATGCTATCAGTAACACTGTCGAGAATTATTTTAGGTTCTTTCTGACGATCTCTTGATGCCGGGGGTAAGCATAAATAAAACTGACATCTGAGAAAGAGCTAAAGGATTTACAACCCAAACAATTTCGCATGCAAATGATTTTGCGGTTGAAATGGATACATACCCATCAGGGAAGTGGTAAGCTTTGCCTGGCTCTAAATGACCTAACCCCACACTGCTCAAGCATACATCCAGAAGATGTCCAGCTGAGTGTAACCTGCAGTTTTCGAAATCAAATCCATTAAACATACTAAGAAAAAAGAAAAAGTCTGAAAGTGAAAAGCATGCAGTAATTCAAATGAAAAGCTTCTGCAGAACTAAAGACAGTCAACTCATCAACTGCACCAACTCGCAGATCATTTTTGTTCTACATACAGCGTGAAACAGAAAATAATCCTATGCACACTAATTTACAATGAAAAAGTAAACACAAACACCCCAAGTTTATATAAAGTATGCGTAAGTAGTTCAATTTCTCCTAGTTAAATTAATAAGGAGTGGAACTGTTTTCAGATATCTAAAACTCAGAATACTGCTTCCAGTAATTGCGTAGATACGGTTTAGTATATCTCAGGACACAAATGCAACACATGAAAGAACCTGAGTAAGCAATTAAGTCTGAAAAGTCCAAGAATTGTAATTCGTTCAATGTGGCATACCTTGAATTAAGCTTTCTTCTTTCTCCATCAACCTGTAAAGAAACTTCAACACCCCTTCTACCTTCCAAATTCAGAGCTCCATCTTGAGACTTCTCAAAGATCCCATAGTGATACACCTATTGTTATAGTTAATTTACAATAAAGCAACAAACTTTGATGAGAAAAAAAAAAGGACAAAACAATTGAAATTTGAAACGGTGAAGTAAACTCAAAACGTTTAATAACAACATTATTAAAAGCTTATAATGAAGAAAGCTTACAAATTTATCCTTTGATCGAACATCCTGGACAACAAATTTGAAGTCGGAATCGGTTATGAAACCAGTATCTGAAGGTTGCCCACCACCTTGCGGATGAAAAATGGTGGAATCCAGTATGAACACTTGTCTACCATCATCACTCTGTCAAATTTGGATTGAACCCACAAATTACTATCCCGAAAAGAACAAAGAACAACAATTATTTAGCAAAACTATTCTCAAAAACGCTCGTTCAGAGTGGCAACATTTTGATTTGTAAAAAAAAATAAGAACTGACCTGAAATGAGGAAAGCAGAAAAGCAGTGGACTGAAGCTTGAACATGTTCTCATAGTATTCCAACTTCGTGGGGATCATATTATCAGCCATTTCTACTTATTGCAGCCAAATCAAGTTTCAGTTTTTAGATTCTGGAATTTCTTGTAGCCCCTTAAATTGCAATGGAGCAGGAGAAGAATGTAATTAATTAAGACCCAGTCAACAATGGTGGGGAATCCCAATTTAGTGGGACTTTTGTGAAGTTTGATGATGGCTAATGACCAAAAAAAGAAAAATAAAAAAAATCTAAAATCCAAATAATACGAAATTACATAACTACACTGTACTATTATGCCTGAATGGCCTCGAAATGTTGGAAATATATATATATAAAAATTCTTGGAACTGTATATACTTTCTCAACTGAAGAATCAATGCAATTTTCTGTACAGGATGTTCGATTCAAGGATGGGAAATCTAGGTTTAATTTACAATCTTTAATGTTTACTAATTACTTTTTGTAATGATTTTTTTTTTGGTACAAAAGAGGAGGTGTGTAACGCCTAGTTGTGAACTAGTACATAACGTGGGTAAGAAACTCCTACTATATCATGTGCTAGTCACGGTTTGACCACCGAAGGAAGTGTAGCAAATCCTCGGTATCCCCAAGAATTGGATCTCATTCCTGCTAGATAATCTGCTGCAAAATTGGCCTCCCGCCATATGTGAAGCAATTGCACTTCCTAGTCTCTTTCTAACAGTTCCCTTATGCTTCTGATGATCCTATCGTGTGTTGATCTTGTGGTTGTGGGTTTGGAGATTAACTTGGTTGCACACTAACTGTCCATTTCTGCCACAATTCTTCTTATTCCCTTCTCCCAGGCCAACAGGAGACCATAATACATGTCCCATAGTTCTGCTCCCGTCACTGTCGTGCTTCCAATGTTGGCAGTGAAACCCCCCACCCAATTGCCATAGTGATCTCGGAGTAGCCCCCCAGCCGCCGCCGCTCCTGTTTGAACATCGTATGCTCTGTCTGTATTCAGTTTCATCCACCCTAATTGAAGAAGTTCCCATGCTATCAATCTGTGTTCTCGAAGTCTCGCCCTGCCTTCCAGCCTATTTGCACTCTCAGCAGCGGCTCTGAGTTCCATCTTTTTCCTCCCCACTTCTCATAACTTCCTCTCCATGGGAGGATTGCTGTTCTCAAATATGAAAACATTCCTCCAATTCCAAAGCATCCAACAGACCATACCAAAAGTACTAGGCCAGTCATTCCCCCATTTGTCCTGTCCAATCACCAAATTGTTTAGGAACCAATTAAATTGGTCTGTGGCAACAAAGTTATCATGATTTGGTGGCAGAAGGGACTCCCAAATGGGTCTGGAGTTCGGGCAATCCCGAAGAGCATGTAGCACCGTTTCCTCGACTGCTCCACACCTCTGGCACTCCGGAGAATCTGTAAATATCCGTCGGCATCTTTCCCTATTAGTCATTAATTTGCCCTTTGCTGCTAACCAGAGGCATGTTTTTATCCGTTCCGGGATCGGCAGTATCTCCATATCGCCTTCCACAGAGGAGTGGTTGGTCTTTGGGGGAACATTTGCAACGCCTTGTAAGCTTCTCTGGTTGAGAAGGCACCTCCACTTTCGAGTTCCTCCAGATCTAGTTATCCTCCCCCCTTACCAGATTCGGCGGCATCGTAGCTGCGATTTTTAGAAGTTCCACCGCCGGTAGAATTCCTTCAAATAGCTGCCAATCCCAGGATCCTTGGGCCGTCATGAACTTCGCCACCGGCTTGCCCACCTGCTGCATTGGTATTGGGCCAGTCGCCAATTCACATAATGGTTTCGGGCCCAACAACCAACAATCCTCTCAGAATTTGGTCCATAGCCCATTGTGCACTATCCATTGAGTTCCTTCCAAGAAAGGTTCCCAAACTTTTCGGATGGACTTGTAAGCTGCTGATGCATTGGAGGCCTTCAAGTCCGCCCGTGTTGGAGTTTGTGGCAACCCATGTTTGGCCTTGAAGGTCCTCACCCATAAAGTCTCCCCTTCTTATAACAGAGCCCAGCCCAACTTCATAACCAATGCTTTATTCATAGACTTAGCCTTCTTCAAACCCAATCCCCCATATTCCTTCGGCATACAGGCTTCATCCCATGCCAGCAGACTTATTCTCTGGTGTTCATCGTCGCCTCCCCAGACGAACCTTCGACAGAGTCTGTCTATTTCCGTACAAATTTTTGTTGGAAGGAGAGTCGATTGCATGTTGTAATAAGGAAGTGTGCTCAATACCGCCTTAACCAACATGATCTTTCCGGCTAGTGTCATATTTGTTGGCTTCAACCCCATCAATCTGGACCGGAGCTTTTCGATCAAATGGTTGTACATATTGTTATTGACCCTCTGATGGATCAATAGTACACCCAGATATTTGCCTAAATCCTTAACACAGAGATAACCTAGTCTTTGTGCTAGCCCAAGCCCCGTTTGTCGATCCACGTTATCAGAGAAGTGGACCTTGTCTTTGCATGGCCAATCTTCAAACCTGATGAGGTGCAAAACCTATCCAACACCCCCTTCAACATGGCTGTTTGATCAGTCGTTGCTTGAAGAAACAGTAGTAGGTCATTGGCGAAGAATAGGTACGGTAGTTGGACACCCCTTCTTCCCAGCTTCAGGGGCTTCCACCTCCCCTCCTGTACTTCCCGATTAATGGCATGCCCTAATCTCTCAATACACAAAACAAACAAGTAGGGAGAGATTGGGTCTCCCTGCCTTATCCCACGATTTGGTTTAAACTCATTTCACAGCCCATCATGCCACTTTACCTTCATTGAACACGCAATTCATAATCCCTTTCACAATCACGTTCGGGAATCCAGCTTCATATAAGGTGTCTTCAATGAAATCCCATCTTAACATGTCGTAGGCCTTTTCAAGGTCTATTTTGACAGCCATGATTCCTTTCTTATCCGACGTGATACGCATGGAATGCATGGCTTCTTGTGCAAGGTTGAAATTATCAGTGATTTGTCGTCCAGGCACGAAACTCGACTGAGCCTCATTGATAAGCTGTGGAGGACACCCTTGATTCGGTTGGCCAAGATTTTTGTTATGACCTTATAGTTTACATTACATAAACTAATAGGGCAAAAGCTCTTTAGGGAGTCCGGATTGTCCACTTTCGGGATGAGTACTATCTCTGTTTGATTAATGGGGCCAACAGCTTGTCGATTTCGAATTCCATCTCTCACCAGTTTGTACAGTGGGGTCTTTACCGTCTGCCACATTTTCTGATAGAATAGCGCATGAACTCTATCCGTCCTTGGTGCCTTTAAGGGATACATATTCTTCAGAGCCTGCAAAACCTCCAACTCCGAAACTTCCCTCTCTATCTCTCGGATCTCTGTCACTGGCATCAGAGGGAAACAACCTTTGACATCATACATGATAGGTGGTGATGGGGAAGTCACATAAACATTATTCAAATATTCTGTTGCCATAGCAAGCAAAACCCCCTGATCATGAATTACCTTTCCTTCACCATTTTTCAGCATCACAATTCTCCTTTTACTCCTACGGCTCTTCACATAGGAATGGTAAAATTTTGTATTTTTATCTCCGAATAAAGACCATTCCCGGGAGGACTTTTGTAATGATTTTGTTGCAAAGGAGAACAGTAAACTTTGTTCAGTAGAAACTACACGCATAGTCATTTAACATTTTCAAACCCATTCTTCTTGGTACAATACAACATCCAAGTTTAGCTACAAAAACGTTATCAAAGTCTGTAAAGAGAATTCTGATAGCAACTTACTATTACAACAAAATGTCCTGCGGCAGATTGGTAACTCACTCACGTTCATAGGGAAGCGAATTTTGCGACACATTGTCTCGTTGCTATGGCGGCTGAAGAGACTTAGGGTGTTAGGAGACTAACTAATCCTCCCGCGTCAGTCACACAATGGCTACGCCATGATGTAATTGGGGTATCGTACCCGCGAAATGTTGTTATTTAGGCTAATGCCTCCTTTTATGTACCAAAAAAAAAAATGTCATGCCCTCAGCATTCTCGACAAACCAAAAGGAGAAATGTTGTTTTACCAGGAAGCAGGAGGAAATGAAGGAAGTGACTAAAAGTTGGAGCCTAAACAGCGCAATGGCATGATATTTTCCTCGTGATACGACATGAGCAGATACCGCTCAGGATCATCATCATCATCAAGGTCCTCGTACAACCGAAAATTTGCTGCAACAATTCCTCCAAAAATTCCTGATATGTGACAGTCTGATGTAAAACACTTCCGCAACATCCTCGTGCCTTGATCATATATGTGATAGATCGTCTTATAAGTGTTGTCCCAGAATTGACAACCAATCAAGACCTTTCTGTCAGGGAGAGAACACACGGCTTTAAAACAATAAAAAACATACGGTCCTGTGGGTTTTGGGAGCATGATTTCATGTTTTATCCACGATCCGTCAGGTGAGGCTTGTCCATTGTTGTAGAAATATAGAGACATTACAGGATCACCACCTGATAGATCCTTGTGTTGGACTCGGGGACGTGAGGCAAAAGCTAGACATGGTCCAAAAGACAACATTTTTAGACCATTTTCAGGTAGCGGACCACGTTGAAATTCCTCTTGACAAAGATCAAAACAAAGTAGATGATCCCTATCATTGACAGGAGGTTTGTATGAACGATCACACCAATAGATAAAACCGTTGGTGCATATGCCACCGGGTGTTATTCCACACGGTGGAGGATCAATACTTCGCCATGATGAATCAACACCAACAGTTAGAATTTCACTACACAAATAAGAGCATTCAATTTCCTCATCATAGCTATCATCCGAGGAGTCCTTATAAGCCAAACAGTGTTTTAGTAACTTGTACAATTTACTGGAGGGATCGAAACCAAGATGGTAAACACAGAACGACTCATCCCACACTGAAACATAAAGAGCCTTGCTTTTCCGCACTGAAACAGGAAGAACCATGCTTTCTCTCGTGGCAAGGTTGTATAGGCATGAGAAATTGCCATAGAAAAAACATATTAACCCATTCACAGGATCTGTGCAAGCCATTTTTCCACCCAGGCTCATGGAATAGCTAAAAGGGATGCTTATTGGCACATTGCCATTGTCAACTTCTGGCAAGTTTAAGTATGAGAAAGGATGATTGTAAGGTTCCTCTAACCATTCGTGAGGGTCGCAAGGCTTGGTAATGAGGAGACCCTTAAAACAGCCCTGATAAGAGTTGGCAAATAATGGATTTTGAATAATAGACAGCCAAAGTTTGCATACACATTTGAATCTCATCAAGGATTTTACGGGCACCAACATCAAGATTCCCCAAACTAATTCTTCAAGGATTTCTGAAGAATCACCACGCGCGGATTTCCCCATATTATTTAGAACAAGTGTACTTAAGGGCTTCCGTATTATAGAGTAATAGAAGGATTGGAAATATGAGATCAAACTAGCAGTAGATACTCAGATTCCAGTGGTACCTATATATACAGATGATGAAGAAAAATAATTACTTAGAGAGTCTTGAAAAAAAATGAAGTGAATAATGATAAATACTTCGACTCTAACATATTCATAAAGTTAAACAAATTTTGAAAGTAACTGAATAGCTTTACATAGAATGATAGGTATTAATTTTGACTTCATTTTAGTAACTGGTAAGTTCAATTAATTTTTTCTAATTGATGAATAGTAAACTCTGACCAATCCTACAATCCTTACCGATCCTGTACGATTCTAACCGATCATGATCGATCCCACTCCGATCCCACTGCAAAGTTCGAGTTTGATCGATCCAGGATTGATTTAGGTACTGGGATTGTAGGATTGGACGATCCTACCTAGTTTGTAAACTATGATAATACCATTGAAGCCAAGTTTATATTGATCCAACTAAAGTTGATGAACCGTATTTGCCTTAAAAATGAAAGGGTTTCTTTGTGGCCTTAAAGTTGAAGCAAAATGCACAATTGACTGTCCCAAAAACAAATGAGAAAGCAGAAAGCATCAATGGAGCAGTGATAAACAGATTCAAGTTGCACCATTTCTCACGATCTCAGCAAATAGTATAGGAAGAACGACTCAACATACCTTTTTGGGGTTTGCCAATTGATGATGGTTTTTTGTGGTAGATTGGGCGAAAAAGATTGCGACAGATTTCGTTCGAGTTGGTAATTTCTTCAAAGAAAAATGGTACGAAAAATTTATTGAGATGGTCACGTGAGTGACGTGATAGAGGAAATTCTGGAGATTTGATGCAACGTACGAAGACAAAATTCACCGTATGTCAGATCCAGATTATAGTCCAGCAACACATAGATTCGACTTACATTGGAATTTGTGTAGCCGCCGGTACTAAGGGTTTTGACTGTATATAAAGAGGGATATCGTAAAATGAGAGAGTTTATTGAAAAGTCGAAGGAGATTGTGCGAGATATGATTAGAATTATAAGAATATAAAATGAATAAATAATTATATAGTGGATCGAGCCATCATTATTGTATGATGCATTTAAGGAACTGTGTATACCTCCTGTTAGGGTGTTAATTTCTGATACGACGATACGATTTACAGAGACAACCCAACACGACATGACACAATTTGAGTTTTAATCATATTTTTACTCTAAAAAATTTTATTAATCTGGTAAAATAAATAACACAAAATTGACTCGATAACTCGAATCTACACACATCCTCATTGGCGAACCTACCATGACATTTCTGTTGTTGCCTCGCAAGGTGACCACTTTCCTATATCTATTGTGCTATAGATTTCATTCACAAATACTATTTAAGTAATCGTCGGCCATTTATATTAGTACATGCATCACAAATTCTGAAAAAATGCTTAGGGTTCATGTATAATATGGACAAAATAATTGAATCCTCACCCGCTATATGTATAAAAGAAGAATAGGAATTATTAAAATAAATCTTAATATATAACCGATGGTTTGTGAGTTGCTTCTCTAATTATTAATACCTTGACAACAAAAATTTCTTGTTTATAAGAAAATCGAGGAATACCAAGATCTAACTATGTCCAATCTCACAAAAATTATCACCATAAATCTCGGAAAACATTAAATCTTAATGATGATTGATTTTTGTATGATTGATTATGTCCAATTTTACCTTAAAAATTGAATACATTGTCAACTGGTTTTTTTATATGGTAAAAGTAGAGGAAAAATTGGTATAAATTGCCGATAAAATAGTGATGGTTGGGGAAATTAATTAATGATGATTAATTAATGGTAACTGAGCAAGATTCTCTGTCGAATCGAAATACGTATCGTTTATCGAAATTCTAATTTTTCGACTCGTATCGGATCGCGTCTAGTATCGTAAGATACACTATAATTTAAATGTATAATAAAATAAATATATTGTATATAATAATTACATTAATTAGGATATCTTTTTATTTGTATATTGTACAAAATATAAATATTACATATAAAATTGTCAATTTTTTGGGGAAGTTAAAAGTTTAGATAATTTAATCCATTATCATTTTTTTTGTTTAATTCTAATTATAAATGTATTATTCTGATCCAATGGTGACATATCCTTCATTTAAAAAATTACATTTGAACCAATGTGCATCGATCAATACAATAAAAAAAAAGGAAAAAAGGCTTCGCCAATTATTACTAATATAAACTCTATTGTAATCTAAAAAATTCAAACTTATATTGATAATAGGATAAATACGAACTAACATCATCTATCTATCTATAGTTATATATAATAGAGAAGCCAGAGAGAGAAACTCGTTGATATCTCCTAGAGTGTCACATAGAATAATGCCACATGGGAAAAAAATCTTATTACACAAACGACTTTGATCTTCCCTAGAGTTATATATAGTAGAGAAACTAGTTGATCTCTCCTATAATGCCACATATAATAGATCCTATTACACAAGGGGCTTTGATCTCTCCTAGAGTTATATGTAATAGAGAAACCAGAGAAAGAAACTGGTTGTTCTTTCCTAGAATTCCACATATATGAGGACTTTGTTTGATATACATGATTAAGAAATTGGCCCAGTAAAATTAGTCTTACATTAACAATTCATAATTGGTAAATTGTTTAAAATAATTACATTAAAATAACAATTAACAATATACATTTATTGACTAAAACAATTGTCCAACATTTGAATCTTTGTACCCACCTTTAATATTTTGATTCTAGGAGTAAATATATATAATTTATTTATGTATCACATTTTCCTTTATCAAAAATCTTTATAATTAATATTTCATAAGATTTTTACATATGTGACATACATTTTATATGCATAAAAAAAAAACTCAAACAAAAATGTAACACACCCGCACATCGTGCGGGTTTAACATTTAGTTATATATATACAAAGACATGTCTACTACAGAAAGAAAAATAATAGTAAAAGCATCATAATTCCAGTTTTCTTTTAATTTAATGATGCTATTTTAATTTGTTTTTTTAAATCGGTTAAAAAGTTATGACTTTTTGTATTTTTTAGATTTCATTTGCAAAGTTATAAAGGAAAGATCTGATATTTATTTTGATATGATGATTAAGATTTTTTTTTCTATTTTGTTCATCAAATAGTGGGAATTATAGCATTAGTAGTTTTTAATCAGGCAAACAAAACAATCTAAAGATGAAATAAAATGTCAATTGGAAAAAAAAGGATTAAATAGAAAAATTTTACAATGGAACAATGTATCGTGCATATTGTTCGTATCATAAGATACGTATCGAATCGGCCGATACAAAAATGGATCGTACGATTCATTGTCAATTATGATACATCCACAGAATACGTATCAAATTTCTTTATTTTAGTATTGTGCGATACTTATCGCGTTATCGTATGACACTAACAACTAGAAAAATAACTTGGCCTTCCTACACCTTTTGAATGGAAGAAGAAAGAAATTTTCAACAATTTGAAGGACCGAATGAGAGGCAAAATTGAAGGTTAGTCAGAAAAGTATCTCTCACAAGCCGGAAAGGAAATCCTAATCAAATCTGTCGCCCAAGCCATCCCTACATACGCTATGAGCTGATTCAAAATTCCAGATACAACATGTGATGAATTACACTCCATTATGACAAACTTTTGGTGGGGAGACTCAAACTCCAAAAAGAAAATCTACTGGCGCAGCTGGTCTTCACTATCAAAACCAAAGGATATGGACGGCCTAGGATTCAAGAACATGAAACTTTTTAATCTCTCCCTCATCGAAAACAAGCTTGGTGATTGCTCGTTAATCCCGGGTCACTGTTGTTTTCACGTCCTCAAAGGTAAATATTTACCTAACAATAATTTCTTGAATGCCACTACAGGAACAAAGCCATCATTCAGTTGGAGGTCAATCCTAGAAGTCACAGGCATTCGCTAAAAAGTTCCTATTGACCATGCATGCTATTCATGCGTCTCTTCATAAACCACCACCCATACACTCTTTGAATGTAGCCTACCCATCGTTGTGTGGCAAGAACCGCGAATAGATCACCTCATTTACAACATGAAGCAACCTTCTACAGACAGTTGGACTACGGATTTGCTGACTAAACTTACTACATTTGGTAAACTAAAATTCTTCCTTGGGGGGCATATAATTTACGGCAAGCCAGAAACACATTCACCTTTGAAGGATGCAAGAAATCGGAGAAAGACATACATCATGTAACGATCAACACACTAGAGACATGGGAAACAACAACCTCCTCCACTCACATCAAGCCACCGGTACATAGGAAACCCCTAAACACTTTGGTCAACTTCAGTGAAACCCTGGTTTTCTTTGATGGTGCGACAAATGCGAGCAAAAATTTCTCTGGAATAGGAATTCTCATATGGAACACAACCACCAGATTCCAAAAATGTCTTACGAGGGGCCTCTCGAGTTTATACAGCTAAACCAATTATAGAAAGCGTATCCGCTAGGGAGGGAATCACTTGAGTTTTACTAAGGCAAATCTTATAGTAATAAATAATAATGGTCGATAATGCAACATGATAAATTTTAATATTCATTTCATCTCAAAATGATTGTTTTTTTTTAAATTTTATTTTTAATTCAAATTTTATTAAAATAAAAATTAAATTGTATATTTTTTCACATTTTAATCAGACAAAACACATTGAGAAAACTGAAGACTGGAAAGAGGCCGAAAAGGAACGATCTTGGAACTCATATTAATGATGAGAAATAGATTCATGAAAGAAGATGAAATCATGAATTGTCTTGTGTGCAGAAGCACATTACATTGCCTATATTTATAGGCATACATCAACATTAGTTAAGATCTAGATATTATAAAATCTGAAATAATCTAAACAAATAGAATCTAAATAATCCTAACTAATG